TTACCAATTTTTTTCAAAACCGATTTATCTCGCAAACCGTTCATTTTTTCGAAATAAATAAAGAGTACCATTTTTAAAGAAAAACCTTCAGAGTATCTAATAATAATATTTTCAGTTTGATAAAATTACTTCTGTCAAAATTTTGAGAAAAATTGTGATAGGGCCAGTCCGTTTCTGGACACCTGATAATAGCAAAAAGTTGATTTTAGCATCAAATCGTAGAGCTCCATGTGTAATGCAACGTACGAAAATTTTATTAAAATATACAGGGTGGTTTCAAAGTTATAACCCTAAACGTTAATTTCTAGGTACCCCTTTGACCCCCCATAGCTCCATTAGGGGGCACATTAAGAAAAAAAATTATAGGAAGGACTAGTTTTATTTTGACCTCCCCTATACAGTCCCGAGAGATTAGGAGGTACTTACCCGACACCCTGTATATACGCAAGTTGATTGATTACTGGTTGTTTTGTTCAACAGTATTCATCAAATTATTTTAACCAAATAATCCATACGCTTCGAGGTACTAATTCTCAAATTAACTTGTTCTATGTATAACAATCCCCATGGAAACTCCAAACGCTGTAAAGAAATGAAAAGGTCAAATAGAATGCATTACAATCGTTAATTACACAACTAATTACCTATATTATATAATTATTTAAAGTATGAAAATCTGATTACCCACAGAACCCTTCTTGTGTAACTGAAACCGTTATTGATCGAAAGACACAGTAATATTCCAATATTCTTTTATAACTGCTAACGGTAGTCTGCCCACATACAAACTTTCCTATTTGTCCCTTTTCTTATCGCAGTCACCTAAACTGTTAAGTTTAAAACACAATACTTTTACCCTTTTTCTTTACAAACTGCAACGTGTGTGGAAGTAAATTGCATTTGTATTGCTTCTGCCACTGACAGACGACACTAATTGTGACAAGGTTTCACAGAGTTGATATATTCAGTGACTTACTAACGGAAGTTTATATAATTACAGATCTCGGGAAACATAAATACTCCTTAGTTTAATAACAGTATAACAGCCAAAAGCCAACAGAAAGCCAACGACAAGCCTAAGAATTTGATAAGATTCTATTGATTTTTTTCATCTCAGCTGTTTATAAATAACGTTTGTTTCTAGAGGGAATACATATAGAATTCTTCCTGAACCATTTACTTCACATTAACAAAATTGGATTTGTTATTAGGAACATAGTCCTTCTTATATAAATACAAACAGTTTTTTTATACAAAAGGCATTCTTTATCTGCGTCATTTTTTATATGTATGTATATACGTTTGAAAACATTTTATTACGAGGTACGAGCATTTCCATCATCTTCTTGAAGGGAAGGAGACTATATTATTTACGCATTTATGAATACATTTTAAATATAATACGGTTTCGTATTGGAAATCTGTCATCTGCAATATTTTCCTCATGATTTATTTTCCTTTAGACGTTAACGAACTTAAACCGCAAAAATTCGCTTCATTCATAAGATCTGTAACAATTTAAATTGAATCCGATCTTTAAACAAGATCAAGTCAATTTTTTTCTCGACAAAGTGACGGATGGTTTATTAAATTATACAGGGAGTTTTTCTAAAATTAGTCCTCAGGTCTTTGTGACCCTCCAAAGTTTAGATGGGTAACACAGTTTTTGGTTAACTAATCAATCAGTCAAAAATAAATAGTTTGACATCTCATTTAAAGAATTAGATGAACAATATCCAAATGAAATTTTTATGCTTTCTGAGTTTTTTCTTTGGACTTTCAACAATGTCAAATATTTTTAATTTTTTTCTGATAATGAAAACTCTTGAGACTTCTCCTATTTACGATGTTACTGGTTAATTTTTGTCTAAATTATACAAAAGATAACTGCTATGAGATATAATACAGTCTCTAAGAGTCATTTTAGGCACACACTTGTTTTTTGCTTGTTTTGTCCCAACACTTCAAATATGTTAAGTGAAGCTCAAGGGCCGAACAAGAATTGAATATTTATTGCGTCATTTTGAACAAATCCTAACGTTGATCGAAAAACAAACGAAATTGTCAGTGTTCCTAAAAATAATAAGACCAGACAATTCCAAGTTTTCTTTTTCAAACAAACTCATATTTCGTTCGTTTCGTATATTCATTACTATTTATTTTCAATAACCCGAGATGACTTTGAGATAGATACTTTACTTTGATGTTGATGACATGTTGATAGCACTTCTAAACAAAGACAGGTTCATTCTTTACATAAAAAAATTCTCCCACGTATTTAAATGATCACGTATAAAATATTTCAAAGAGGGATTTGACAAAAATCGGATAGATGTTACGCTTTCATACACTTTCTGCCTTTTGGACCCCTTAACAACCTTGAGAGGTAAGAAATTGAAGTCGGACAAGGACGTGATGGGAGCGGTGCGAGTTTGGCAACATACGCAATCAAAAGATTTTTTTCTAATAGTATCCGCAAGTTATCTGGTATTATATTGGAAAATAAAATTTGTTTCATTATATGTTATAGAAAAAATTTTATACTCATAAAGATCATAAAAATACTACATTAAAGGGCTTGAAACGAGTCGAAACACGATATTTGTCGAAATACCATCCCTAAAACCTAAAAATCAACTAAACTATTAAATCCTCTATTGTGTGTAGACGTTTCAAAACGAGTAATTAAATTAATCATTTATGTTCCGCCCCTCATATTTGCAATTTCTCTCATTTCGGTATCTTTATGAGCTACAAATCCAATAAAGAAGGATTAAAAGTTTTATTGAAGCGCAAAAAGTCCTCCCTGTGGTTTTAATTCATCAAATTAGATAAAAAAGAAACTCATTAGTCTAAGCTTTAAAAAGTTATCAAAGCTTCATGCCCACAAAATATACAGCGACAATGACAAGGATATAAGGAATAAGCTGCATTATTTAAGTATGAACTTTATGGAATAATAGATTGATTACTAAGTACAACAACAAATGAACTATAAAAACTTTGGAGGAGCTACAAAAATTTAATTCAGGATTTCGTTTTGGCACATGCTGCTATGGGATGAAAATTAAATAAGTTGGAGGCTTTGATGTGAAACACAAAAACAAATGAATTTTTACGTTCTAATGTATATTAAGAGTATACCAATTTGGCTGGAAAAATACAAACAATGTGTAAAATTGTGTACAGAATGTATGTGTTTTTTCTACAAAGAACAAATGTACACGAAAGCCCCTTTAACTAATATTCCAAGTTCCTTCCATTTCTTAAACATAAAACTTTCAAATTAAAAAGCGATGTTTTTTATATTTCTTTTTCTAATTACATTCACATTGTACAAATATGAAGTAGTCTTATATTATTTATATGACAGTCGAGACACATTCTTTAAGTGAATTAATTTACTTTATTTATAGTTTAATGTTTGAATAACAAGCATTTTAAATAATTTTTGAATAACTTCTCTAGTATGAATCATTTGAGGAAAAATGAAAAAAAGGAGCTTTTCAAACAAGAAAGTCTAAGAGAAATTATTTTTTCATCTATATGAACTATATATTTGACTATATTTTATTTAAAAGGAAAAGTTAGTATGATTATAAGAAGACAAAAAAAATATTGAAACTAAGATAGTTTTTCAACAACAACATCTGGAAAACAAAAGTAAAAACGTTTCATAAAGTTTTGTTCTGATATTATGATTACGGTGTAGTTCTTTAGAAAAACGATAAAAGGAATTATTCGGAGAGGTACAAAAATGTCGAAAATTGATAATAAAGCAGAACTTGATAATAAATTTCAAAATTACGTCTCTATATCTCACTTATTTATCTCTAGACTATATTAAAAGCCTAAAAAATTTAAGTCTCTCGTAAAAATATAGGTAATATTCCTTAAACTGGAAAACAAAATTTGTTAGTACTTTTCATGTGTACAACAAGGACATTTCGGTGGATTTTATTTTGTTCAAAGGATTATTACAGATTTTTTTTTAAGTATGACGATACTTTTATGCTTTACAAGTGGCATAAATAAAATTATTATTGAGTTTCAAGTCTATATGACCATATTATGTTTTATTTTATGGAAAAACATAAAAGTATGTTAAAATTTGGTCCATATACAACGACTACATAAAAGCAAACAGAATAATTCTTTACCCTCTCGACAGAGACGCAATAAAAAGTGGAATGCTATAAGCGCATATTTGATGTAGTAGAATGTCTGTAAGCTTTTACACTTACTTGAGTAAAATTAACTATGATGTCTATGTTGTAAGTATGTTTCGTTTGATGAATGTAATTTTTCGTTCCCAAAAAATATGTTGCATTTTTTGATAGTACCTTTAGTAACACCTGTCAGTCCTATAATAAATCATGTAGCTGACGATTTTAGTCCTGAATAGCTTAAAGTTGTTTTAGTATTAAAAACTTTTAGGGAGAATATATGTCATAAATGTGTAAAACTTAACTCCTAATTTTTTACAGGTCAATTGATTATGACTTTTTTTTTTGTTTTAGGTAGCTAGACATTTTTATCACAAAGAAATGAAGATAGAACTAGTCAGAGAAGAATTGTTGTTCGATATGGTCCACGTTACTTTTCAACTAACATTCGACAACAGAGCCTTTACCTTAGCTTCTTTAGCTATGACCAGGGAAGAGAAGCACTTGCCAATCAGTGCTTCTGTTCTGTTCGAAATATTTCCATTTTGTATAGTTTTTGGGTAAGTGTAAATAAATATGAAACAATAAATACATCAATAAGGTACATGCATCGATGAAAACTACTTCAATCAATTTCATTTTCATTCAATTAAAATAGCTCAATTTTATCTGAACAATAGCACACTTTTTTAATGAATTCTATTTTGCAACAGATTCAAGAGAAAAAATATAATTAAAAAACAAATTAAATTGGTATTAAGCAAATAAGGCACGCTGAATTGTCATACTTACAGCAAACAATTTTTTTTCTCCATGTATCACAATACATTATTCGTGGGCACATCATAAGCAGATGACACACAAACGCATGAGATTTTAACTTATTCATAAACCAAATAATATCTACTTTCATTAGGCTACATTTGTTTCTTATTTTTTTGAACATCTTTTGACATTAAAAGCGGCTCCCTTAATAGCAAGTAACCTCAACGAAATAAGCTCATCAAAAACAAATTAAAAAGCAGTAAAAATAAAACTCATATGAAATATGCGTATAAAGATTTGCCAAAGGAAAACACTTCCGCAAAAAAATTTAAAAGAAATACGATTTCCTTATCGGAAACAAACAAAATCATCTAAAACCAATTTCACAACAACATGTACTAATGAATTTTTGTAATATCCTGTAATATCCTAATATTTGAAAAATAAGTTGTTTTTTGATAAGAATTTACATTGATTATTTTAGAGGCGTAGTAGACTTATTTGTATATTCGAGAAAATGGCGAATGCGCCAATGCTACATCGTTAATTTTATGGATTAAATGATTAATGATTAAATGATGTGATTCAAATCATTGTATTTTTGAGGTCAAAATAAGACTTTTTTTCAAATTTGTTTGGAAATTATTTCTAATAAATAAATATTAGTTACTTTAATAAGTACAAATTTTACAATAAATTCCTTAATAAATTTCTCTGCAGGTTAGTCTGTCAATAAGAATTTTAAATGGTGTTTGTATAACATTTAACTGATGTTAACTATTCAAATATACTTAAATATGCTGATATACATCAAAATGTTTTTAGAATAGACTACTTGCATTTAGTTTTTAGTATCCCCTTGTACACAAATATGTTTTGTATGTACCTAATTCATAACAACATCGTTCTTATTTGTTTCCTTTTCAGATCAGATATGATTGTGCGTAGCATAGGCAATTCTTTAATGGTCATTTTACCAGATTTAGTAGGGAAGAAAATAACTAACTGGTTTGACTTGGTTCGGCCACTCATAGCATTCAAGTTTGGTTCGGTAAGCATACATTTTTAAATAATTTATTTACTATTTCCATGACAAACTGTAAGTAGAATATAACTGCATATAACAAATTAATGTTTTATTTAATCGAAGCAAATTTTATTGTAGAATTTCATCCTTAGTAGCCAAATCTCATATGTGATAGCAGAGCATTGTTTCTTTAATGGCAAAGTTTTTTAAAAGGCTTCCAAGTACCTGTTCATCGAGACACATAAATTAAAATTTACACTAATACTAGATACTTTTTGAGAGGTTTTGAATTAAACTTTTAAATTGTCTGCTTGATTAAGTTTATTTTGAATTTATTTAATCACACACAAAATATTCTATATCATGTGGTTCCACCACAACTTATCTCACGTAACAGTGACTAGACCACCGAAATCATGCGATTTTACGCCATGTGACTTTTTCTTGTAAGGATACGTAAAGTCGAAGATTTATTCTGCCCAAAGGAATACCATTGTTAAATCAAAGGCAGAAATTTGGAGATATACGAGTAAAAATTTTGCCAACTTTTTAATTAATAAAACCTCATATGAAGTAATGTGTTTCTTTTGGGACAAGGTCCGCCTAAAATATAATTCTTTAGTATAAGATATGTGTCTTGCCTCAGCTGCTGGAAAACAAGATAGGGACCCCTTTTAGAATAAATTCTACTTATTCTTCAAGGCATGTCTGAATGGAATAGTAAAAGATATGCGCCCTCAAAAAGACGACGGAAATGGCGTTGATCATATTCGACAGCAATTGCAAAGGGGAGTCTCCAAAGTGTCAGTTATCGGAACCCGAATAAATTAAGACAAATTTAACAAGTTTTCTCCGAGGAATTTACAATTTATCCGTAGAATACTGGAACTGGGTATTAGATATAAAATATGGCTAATAACATCGCGAAATTTAATAATTAAAATTTCTTGATATTGGTGTCAACAGGATATATTATAATATAAATAACTGTATTCAATTAAGAATACAACTTTGAGCCTGTTAGAAGATTGCATGTGTTTTAAATAAGCTAAAAATAGAAATTAAATAAAGATGGTGTGACCAAAAATTAGTCATTTTTAAACTAATACCTTTTAATACAATTACTGGTACACATACGCTCAAGTAAACTAAAAAAAAATATTATCTAATTAAATATTTAACTTATACTTGTTGATTTATACTTCTATATATAGGTAGGCGTATTATTCATTGCATGAAATACATCTACAGTGTTTTCGAGCCAAGGCGGTTATTGATGTAGGAAAAAGTAATGCAAAAAAATTTAAATATTTGCAAATTTCTGATATCGCCTGTTGTGATATTGCCCAAAGTTACTTATTTGTGTCATTTTTTCACATTTTCTTTATTTACTGGGTAATTCGCCACATATAAAAAATAATTCATTTGAAATGAGCCAAAAGGATCAGTTAAGGGCTATTTTTTTGTGTAAATGAATTTACATGAGATTCTGATGTTTTCAAAATATGCTCATATATAGGTGCTAGAATAGCAACGTATAGTTCTAAAAAGGAAAGAGGAAATTGTCTAGATCTAAACACTGTGAGAAAGTTATATCCGTTGACCTAATTCAAAATATTTTCGGCCTTAGAGTTATATTAAATTAAATATTTTATAACCTTTATCAATACGTTTATATTCTTATTAAGTATCTATCTGCGATGGTTTGAAAATGATATTTTTCAAAAAATGAACACGTTGATTTACAATAAATATATTTATTAACAGCCCCTAAAGCTTTGAAACCTGTTGTTTTATAATTTAAGAGAAAAATAATGTTGCTTTAATTTTTAAATCATACGTTAATATTTTAAATAAAAGTACAAAATAATTTCATCATAGCACATTAAAATGGGTCACCTCGTTGCGAAATTTCTTTAACACGCTTAGACGCAAAACTTAGACAATTTTATAGAATTCCAGGAAGTCGAAGGAAAAATGAGAGTAAACTTGTGGATTAGTACTAGTCCATTTATATAATTCAAACCCTCCTCCATTACTTAAAACTTTTGTGAGGCAAGTTTATGCTCAACAGTTCTAAGTTTATGCTCAGCCTTCTAACTAAATTATCATCTTATGGACTGTAAATTAAAGCTCTTTTGAACTTAGGAAAATTATTTTTTATAAAAGTAAACATTTTTACTTTTCATTTTATGAAAATAAGTCATTTCTGTTAAAAAATTATTCCTTAAATTTGCTGAAAACCCTAAATATGCAATCTAATGAAGATGTAGGTGTACCTGAGGAGATACTGGAGAGTGGGAAAGAGGTTTCTTTGAATCCTCTCCCAAAGAAATCTCGAGAAATTTACGGATGTGTCTATCAACCTTTTATGGATTGGTGCAAAGAAAAAGCATTAAGTTGTATTCAGAAGATGTATTGATGGTGTATTTCTCAAACTTAGCAACTAAATTGAAGCCGCCAACGCTTTGGTCGCAATATTCAATGTTGAATATAAAGAAGGGGATTGATTTAAGCAATTATTCAGTTACATGCTTTTCTCAAGGGGCAAAATGAAGGATATGTACCGAAAAAATCTCGAGTATTTACAAAGGGGCAAGTCTGCAACATCTGAAAATAATATAAATATTAATGAAAACATGTTGGACTGCTTTGAGATTTGCCCCAAGAATGAGAGTAGTGGCAATTTCAGTGGTTTATTTAATTTTAATACGAGTTCAAAGTGACTATTTAATCAATGTGGATAAACAAAAAATATTGTAAATATTGTTGAATAAACTTTTATAAATTAAAATCTGATTAACACATTTGATCTAAGGATTAAAAGTGAATACTTTTGTTTCTAAGATACCTTTTCTCAGTAAGGAAAATGTCAACGTTAGAGTATTGTGATAGTCAAAAAATGTCATAGTTTTGTGACAGTTAAACAACAAGTTGTTTTTTACAGTTCTCAATGCTTATCATAAGACGATTTTCGAATTATGCACCTATTAGTATTTTCATATTAATCGAAACATAGATTCTAGATAAAAAATGAACAAATACAATAATTCAAAGAGCTTGAAAATGTATCTACACCTTAACCTTTAAACAACTGGATCCAAACGGATGAGACCGAAATAAGTGAAAAACAATATTAATCGATTAAGCTCTATAAGACCTTCACCTACACTTGTCAACATATTAACTATTTTCTCGTTCCTAATTCCCTTTTCGATTTAGTTCAAAGCAAGGTTCTACACACCCTCATTTATATGAGGACGTCATTTGTTGTCAACAACTCCAGCAAATCCAAAAGTTTTAAACACAGCCCCGTCGGGTTTTCAATGTTCTCAGATTATTTCTACCTACTTCCATTAATACGCTTGTTTCAATATTTCCCATATTAATATGTAGGTATTCAACAATAAAACTTGCTTTTGTTATAATTTTTTTGATTATTATTTTATTAAAGATTACTAGCTTTCTTATTGTATTATATACGATGACATAACAAAATATGTATTAAAATAATGATAGTTTGTTATAAAACAAATAAAAATACAAATCTACGTTAACGTCAGTCAACGTTGTGGTGCCCTTTCAGATATTTTACAGTCGAATTAAGAAGCTCTGTGTACTTTTAACATGTATTTTGTAGTATTTGCTAATTTAACCTCGAAATATCTCGGTTTACATCGTAACAGTTTGTTTCAGATTTTGAACCGGACCAATAATATTTTTGAATTGGTAACTGTGGAGCCAATTTTGAACGACAAACCTCCATCTGACGGCAGAGGTGGTCTGCTACTTAGTGACGAGATGGAAGTATCTGAAGATAGAAATTTAAGGCTTAAAGGTAATTTTAATCTACATTATAATTGCTTTGAATTGCTTTCTATTCGCGATTTACGAGTTTTCTTAGTAATATTTTAGCGTAATTTTCACGGTTATAAAACTAACTGGTTAAATAGGAAAATGCCAGCCATAAGGACAATGTAACATTGCACAATATGGCTGCATTTTTATTTTTTCCTAGTCGTATTACAGACAGAATATTCTTTACACTCCAAAATATATAAAAAAAACTCCGTATAAACTGTTACGATCTGAATTAATTGCGAGTGAAATATCCCAAAGCTAACTTAAATTTACGTTTCCAAAGAAATATGGTAAGAACTCTAATTGTTAGGGATTTCCCTGTCAAAATTATGATCTTTGCAGCTATTAATTAACAAAGTATTCTTTGTTTCCTCAGACTGTAAGAGTTGATGAAATTAAAACTATAAATATTAATGTTTTTATTTCAAAGCAATCAATAAGTTTGTTAAGGTTCAATTATTAGTTCAATATACAGAAGAAAGAAAAGTTAGGAGGCAAACGTATCGACAATCAATTAAAACGTAGATTCAGTGATAAATGACAAGCAAATTTTTTTAGTTAATTGCTAGATTTAAATTATGTATCACTCGACAGTGATTTCGTGGTCAAATAATCGTGAGATTCATATGTGACGTAATTTTCAAGGTCAAATATGATGGTCTCGAGTGGTCTCTAAAGTGATTTGGTGACCTTGAACGGATTTCTAGGTCGTCTACTGACGTTGAGCGATTGAAATGGCTTTTTTCCTACTTACCTCCCGTTGTCCATAGCAACTTCCACTTCTACGGCAAAATCCACTTACCTCCTTAAAATTACTATTAAGTGAGAGCAGATAAGATAGATATACCTGACTTTTGGTTGCAGAAAAAGTAATAAACGTTACAAAATGAACTTTTTTTTCTTATCTTTGGAGTACTTTTTGCTTTTATTATTTTTTTTCTTAGCACATCCGTATAATTGACTGGTATTTAAAGTACGATATGAAATTTATTAACTCAACCAAAAACTACTTAACAAATTACACTTGTACTACTTTATCTCCACATCATTTTCATGTTTTTACGGACATATGTGTATAACTATGCAATCACATTTAAAATGTTAGAAGAACTGAAACCGACGCCAGGACGCATAGTCAATAGGCGCGTATATATAGAACCATCGACTGATTCTTATTATTCTGTTCGTTTGCGGTCTACGTTAAAATGCAGTTTAAATTAACTTTGACAAATCTTCAACTGATAACATTTCTAACCAAAGTAGCCAGCTATTTTGGAATAGTACCTTGGCATAATTACAACAAACGTATTGTGTATGTGAAAACATTTAAATGTTTCTCTGTATTGCAAATTAGTCTGTTACTTATTGGAGCAATATATTTGTATTACCTCCGAATAGAAATAATACAACGTCATTTTGTCAGTGTAATTGTAGATGCTCTACAAGAAACAGGTGGTATGGCTTTATTTATATCGCTGTCAGCAGGATCAGCCTTTTGGAGCAGGACCGAATGGGGTGAATTATTTAATTTGATCCATCACGTAGACGACATTTTTAATTTGTACACCGTACGGAAAAAACGTATATCTAAACAAACCCTGATTTTATCGACTATAGAGCTGATAGGTCCGTTCTGTGCAATATTCAGTCATATTCTTTTTGTAAGATTCCACCTATTGAGCATGACATCTTGGATATTTAATTATACATTTTTGTTAACAGCAGTTATAATTTATAACATGATTGTTTTCATTAAGCTCAAGTTTGAAGACATTAACGACTTGCTATCGCGTATTGCGACTTCAGATTATGATTTGCTCAAGGACATAGAGAAAGTTGGAACCTTGTACATTATTTTACATCAGCTGGTTGCAAAGCTCAACGGTATATTCGGATGGCCACTGTTATTCATTCACTACTATTTCCTTATGGCCTTGGAAAACTGTTTGATATATTTTTTCCTTGTGCACCTGGACGAATACGAATTTAGAATTTACTTGATAATTTCTTCCCAGATTATGATTATATTAGCGGTAAGTAATATGAATATGAAAAATTGCTTTTATTAAATTCACAAAAATTAATATCTAATAATAATAACAATAATAATAATAATAACTGTAACAACAACAGTAACAGTAACAGTAATAATAACGATAATGATAATAATACTAATAACAATAAATTCACGTGGAGAAAATTCTCTTCATTTTACATCAATTGTTCCTTTCAAAGGTCTACTTGGTTTCTAATATACAGGGTGTTTCACTAAGGTCGGCGAGGTGATATTAGAGAAAGTATAGGCCCTAGAGCTTCGGGAAATAAGTTTTTATTAATAAATCGACCAAGAGAAATCGCCGGAAATAGTTTTCAAGTTGGAGGCGTAATCTACATACCAAAATATAGAGTTGATTTTTTCTCATAAATGTTTCCTATTCAGCTTCGAACTTGAAGAAAACTATTTCCAGAGATTTCTCTTGGTTGATTTATTAATCAAATTTTTTACCGAAGTTCTAGGAGCTATACTTTCCCCAATATACCTCGCTGACCTTAGTGGGACACACTGTATACACGGCTGTTTTCTTTTGAATTGTAACAAAATGAATAACCTTCGACAATTTTATAAAATTAATTAATTTTGAACAGTTCTGCTTAGCATCCTTATTTATATTAGATAATAAGACTTTTCAAACTAAATAATTATAAAAACAATCGTCTATACTAAGGATTCAAAATGCATGCAAATAATAAAATCAATTATTTCCAGGTGTCTGTGGCGCTGATAATATTTTCTTGTAACTCCGTTATTTCCGAGACGGACAAACTGGAAACAAAATGTCATAATCTTAAACAAATCTCTATGCAGCAGCCATATATAAGGGAAGAATTAGATGAGTTGAGGTATCTGGTCAGGAACAGGCCTGCTAAGATCTCAGCCGCTGGATTCTTCCAAATAAAAAAATCAACTCTACTTTCAATCATCAGCACTAGCACTACTTACTTCATAGTTATAATACAGTTATTAGAACCGTGAATTATTGTATTCTTTAGCACCGTTTGACTTCACCAACAACTCTCACGCTTATTAAACTTATAATATTCGTATAATATGCATGTTTATATTTGTAGATTTAGAATAAACTCGATATTTTGAGTGAAAAACTTGAAGCACGCAATACTCGTAGACTTAGCCTTATTTAATATTGCATATTACATTGGTCTCATTAATAATAATTAATTGTAACATATACATTTAAATTGTAAAATTAGTATTTTCTAATAAATAACAAATAAAGTGATTCGGATTTTATATTAGAGTTTATTAATTAATCAAATCTTTAACGTAAGTAACATTATTTATTTACTGCTTCTTCATTTTTTTTTTATGGAAAAGGAATATTCAACCAGTTTGCGACCGAGAAACATCGGTGAATTTTTTCGAAACGTAGGTGAATTTTTTCGAAATATCGGTGAATTTTCACATGTTTTTCATGTGGATGTCTCTGGGATGATTCAGGAGGCAATCGCGATATCTGCGGAGCTTCGCGTTTAAATATGAGAAAGATTGGTGAAAAATTGAGTTGGCGGAAACTGCGCCATATGGGCTTTTTGAAGAATTGTGCGGATATTCAAAACATAGGCGAATTTTGCATACCACGACAGTATCTTTGTTGTTTTTGTAATTTTCACACACTGTAAACAAATTTCACTCAAATTTCACTCAATTTTACTCAATAATGTATCAATTTCGGTCCACAATGGAGTGATATTTTCACTCTATTAGTATGAGTTTAAATGAGGGAAACTATTGCATCAGAAATGAGTGAGTTTATTATTTCAAAATATTATTACTTGAAGCTTTGTCGGATTTAATTTAACTTTCATTTCAAAGTTTAATATATTCACACACATATTGACTGCTTCCTGGCATTAACTTCTTTTTAGAACATTTTAAATGTGATTGCTTATTTATTTACGTACGTAAGAACTTTATAATGATGTTGCGGCAAAGTAATACGAGTTTAATCTGTTAAGTAGCTCTGAGTTAATTAAACCTTAAAAAAAAATAACGACCTAATAGTCACATAGGCTTATAGACACCAGGCACCAATTCCTTGACCTTGAATGTCCCGCGAGGTCACCTTCTTTGACCTTGAAAGTCACTCAAGGCCACTTTGTTTAACCTTGAAACATTCTGTAACATGTGAGCTTCCGCTGTACTCTTCTGCTGGGAGGAGAAAACCGAAAATTGTCAAAAATAACACTTTGGATTTTATTATTTCGCTTATAAAACTACAAATTTTAGGCTGTCTGGAAAAATAATATCAACATTAGACCAGAAATTCTTTGTCTCAAATTCGTTGCCTCTAATTTTCACAATTGCTTTTTACAAATTTCTTGATTTTACTTCAGTTAAATATTAGAGGCATGTAGTCCTCAGTACAAATTCGTATTAAAACTTTATATATATTTATATCTTGGGAGTCCCTCAGTAATTACGAATCGCTTTTATCGCTGCAAATATCTCTAATTATCCTCCACGTGCTGACTATCTTCTAAATCCGTGCACTTTTTAGGTCAGATGATTTACATGGATAATTGGAAGATGATGATGTACTTAGGAACCCCCGTGATGCCCGATCTCAATTCTCTAATTAATTCCGGCCTATACATCAACGACCTCTCTATGCACGACTTTAGTCGGTAACTAGCACAAAAACACTTAACCTAACATTTATGAAAATGTATAGCTACTCATCTTTCACGAATTTTACTTTTTCATTAACGACTCTGTGATATTTTAGAGACCTCATGTTGGCCGGTACCCAACAATCCGTAGAACTCAAGTTAGCCTTAGACCAGGAACAACAGAAAAGTAAGAAGTTGGAGGAGTCGATGAGGAAGTTAGACGAAGAAATGAGAAGGACTGACGAGCTCTTATATCAGATGATACCGAAACAGGTCGCTGATAGGTTGAGGAAGGGAGAAAATCCTATCGATACGTGCGAGGTACGCAGTAAGTTATATCTAAAGCAAATAACAGGGAAACAGCACAGCGTTCCCGAACTTTTGACTATCTTTCAATTAGCAGAGGCAGGAATCTACCATTAATCACCCTCTGATTTGGGTCAATACCAATATTCACGCGAGAGGTGAATCTCCATTAAAATTACATTACGAAAACGCTCTATTCTTAATCTAAAATAATTTCTTGTTTTATTAAATAAACTATACGCATTTATCTTAACCGCTAAAAGAGTGCCCAACTCACTTTTCTCGGAAATGTTAGATTATCGAAATCGAAGCAGATATTTTCTGTATAAGTTCTTTCTTCCCGAAAAGGCCAAGATTCATTTGAAACTGATCAGCAGTTTTGGAGTTTAAAAAAATATATTTCTAGCGACACATATTTGTCGCTTTCTAACCATCTTGATAAACATAAAGATGACATTTCCTTTCTAATGTTTTTGTTTGACTCTAGTAAAAGGACGCAGAAAGCCTAACGTAAACTAATTCCATATTCAAATTTTGATGAAATTTAATACACACACTTTATACGTTTAAAAATGAGTTTAAGGATGAAAAATTATCTTCGCATCTATAAAATTATATATGTACATTTTCAATGAGTTAGTTTAATAAGGTTTTATAGTCTCAGTTGTGACTAAAGATGATTGACATAGCACTATGGCAATATAATGCCTTTAAATGTAAAACCATCAATCTCTTTCCTTTCAGAAGCCTCGCAGGCATTTATAAGGATTTATATAACGCTGTTTTAAGTAGAACGCTCTTATTTAAAGCCCCTTTTTCATTTTAAATATTATTTTCTTTATAATTCCTCTTGACTTAATTATTTAAATGAATTTGTACGTTTTGCTGCACTTTAATATAAAAAAAGCAAAGTTTTTTCAATGCCATACGTATATACTTTTATCTGCTTTTTTAAATGTAGAACAGATACATGTTTTTTATAAAAGTACTTACAATTAGTCTTTATGTAAGCATATTGAAATTATAGATCGAAACCCATCATTGTCAAATTGTGGACACAGTATTTCGTTCATTAAAAAAATAGTCCACCTACTTAATTCATATCTCAACCAGTTGATTGAAAAGGAAAACGAAAAAAATGTTCAATTATTTCTGAACGCCTGGGTAACTAATAAGATTCTGAATGTAATGTGATCCTTAATATTTTCTTATTAAAACTTTATAATATCAGCAACGTTGGATCTCTGACTGTGTGCGAAATTACATGGGGACAAAAGTATAAGGTGTTGCAATATTCTACAGGCGAAATAAATCGTTAACATTACAGATTTGTGTATTAAAAAGTAATCGAAATTAAATAGATATATAAAACAGGGTAATAAACCAAATTTACTTTTATAAATGCCAAAAATGTGTATTTGGTTGTAGAATTATCACTGAGAAACAAGAACCTACCTATATCAAATACACAAGGTCGTTTTAGATGAGGGTCAATTGTGTAGTCATTTAAAAATTGTATAGGAAGTGGAGTCGAAACTTTTAATAACCTATCGTTTTATTTTTCAGATGTTCGATAGCGTATCCATTTTGTTCTCTGATGTCGTGACTTTCACCGAGATCTGCAGCAGAATAACCCCCATGGAGGTTGTTTCGATGCTCAATGGAATGTATTCCATATTCGACAAGTTAACTGAAAGAAACAGAGTATATAAAGTGAGTGTTGTATGAAACTACACCTTCAGCTTTTTATGTAATAAATTTTTAAACCCCTGAGGCATTTGACTTTTATAAACTTTGTGAAACACCATTCACGTTTTAATAAAATAAGAGAAGTTTGATAACGACTTCAAATGTTTTTAATGATGATGAAGTACTTTTTTCATTTTATCCAGGAAAACATCCCATTTATACATAACACTTTAAATAAATTTTGGGAGAATTCTGGTCAATTAGGTACTTTAAAAAGTTAAAATCATATCAAATATTAATTGTGGCATTAAAGACGAACTTCAAGTCTCAGAACTAAACGAGCATCATCGAATAAACTGTGTATATTGCCATTCTTAAATGAAAATACAAATCTTATTTACCAACAACATCAACATTTGTTAACTTTATGCAATCAATGGCTCAGCGGATAACCACTAGTAGACCTACTGCTGAGCAGATGGCTCGTATAAGAAATAAGCTTTGCTCGGGTTGAATACTTGTCCATTGTCAGCAAACATGTTGCCCTTTCCCGCATAAGTTTAACCCTCTGGGATTCTGGACTTGAGCTCTAGCATTGTGTTCTAACTACCAAATTTCAAATTTATTCGAAGTTAACTAAAGCTATTATATTCTGTCTTGTTTAACCAAAAGAGAAAAATACAAATTACCTACCAGATGACAATGTCTCAATGTTTGATACCCTTTTGAATTTGAATACATTTTTTCAAGATCACTGATATATATGAGTATGTTGATTTTTCACTATACCTAACACTAAGGAATTTATTCGCAAAATAGTACACTATAAATGTAATGTTTCGCCGAATTTTAGAAAAGAATAGTTTTATAAATTGCAAATTTTGAAAATAACAATCGACTAAAAATGATTTTCTATAGCAATCAGCTATCAGATTTTATATAGACACTCTGATAGCCGCCGCACCACCAAGTCTGTTTTTAACATACAGGGTGTGGCGTGTATAATCTATAAAAATTAAACTACAGCTTCCTGATGATATTTGTAACAAAAAAGTTCTATCTTCGCGTTTTTTTTTTGTAAATTAAATCACCTATGGATTTCCAGTAAAATATAGTGCATTTTAGAATTTTGTATCTAAATTTAAAGGAACATGGAAATAAAGAAAAAGTATAACATTAACTTAGTTCCTAAATTATTTCATGCCATTAAAAATGAACTTTATGCAGAAAAATGTAAATACCTAAACGTAAAATGTTGTATAGCCACCCATGGGCGTAGGCATAAAGACACGGGGTAGTCAAGGGAGTGCAAAACCAAAAAGTAATGAATTATTTTCATTCACGGAATCTCTGGTCTAATATTGTCCACGTATTCTACGAACGCCCTATATATCAACTTGAACGTATTAATGAAGATACTGATATTTGATTAATGATAAATTAATCCGTTTGAGAAGTTTCGCGCTCAGTGTAGATATCCTTATCAAGGGGCACACCTAGTGTTCTGTACTCTAATTACCCCTACGTCAAAAATATTTATCCTGAATTGAAAAACGCTGTCAGCAATGCCATTAATCATACTCTGTCACCGAATAATAGGATTTTAGAGTATGCGACATAGACATAATAGTTCTTTTTTATATACATAAATGTGCTCGTATGTTTTCTATAGAATCAATTGTTTGTATAATAATTTCGTACATAGGTCCGATTGGCCCAGCTAAAAGCTACGACGTATCGACAATTTTTATATCACCTTCGAATGGCTGTCTTAGAAACCTATTTTTCTCTTTCTGGTTATGATACAAAAATGTAGTAAAGGTCTTCAAAGAAAACCTTTAAATCGAAAACCAAAAAATATTGCTATCAAAGAGAAATTTATATATTTGACTATAGGAGTATTAGACATGAAATTGTAAAATATTGCTTAAAAATACAGTGTACAATTTAAACTTAAAAGGTTAGAAGTTCTTGCAGCTGTTAAATTTTTGGTCAAAATGTCATCAACTACTTCTTGTATGACCTTAAAGAATCGAAAATTGATAATATTTTCATTGAGACGTTTTGGATTTCTTCCCTATACATAAGCAGTTCTAACCAAAAGTCGTTATGATGTACCCTGCATGTGCTAGATATCTAAACAATTTATGTCCACTTGTAAACTAAATCAGTTCATATTAAAGTTCGTTATGGTTATCTACTCTGCAGAAAACAAGATAATATCGTACAAATGGCAAAATAAAATACTTTGCTTTCTTGATAGCCACGAAATTTCGAAGAATTTAATAATGCAATAAATTTATTATCTCGAAAACTAGATCGTTTATTATGACAAATTCCACAAACTTGGAGAAATATTTCCGCAGTTTTGATAACTAGAAAGCCTAATGAAAATACAACTTTTTTCAATTCGTGACGTACGTAAAGTTTGTTCTTGCTTTTTAACTTGATTAATTATAGTCCAGTCATTGAAGGTAAAATACGGCGTTGCTGTATAATTTTCCCAAACAGCACCGATTTGCACCAAAATTTGGATTTAGGTTCTACTTACCCTCCACTTCAAAGTTGACCCAGTGCCGGGGGTTGCTTTTTATTTTTTAGGGGTGAAAACTACCCCTATTCGAAAATAATTATGGAATTGTAGATTCGAGTATGTAATAGGTTGAAAACATTTTAATAAGTAATTTTGATGAATTGAAAATTGTCAATCCCTAAAAACCACCCCCTATGACAGTAATCATTAAAAAATAATGTTGTACAATATTATTCAGCAATTTGGAATAATTTAATCATATAGTGATGTTAAATTAAGATTTCTGTACTGTTTTAATTTTTTATCATTTATTTATACAACCATTATAAAAACCACCCCTTGCAAAAAAAATCGAACAATTATAATTAATTTTTTTTATTGCAAATAGCATATAAACAATCAAAAATGTAAATACATCTGTGTCTAAAATATTACTATAATGTGTATCAATATACGTGTTCTGCAAAAATTTGTGATTGGTTTTTTACTCGCTTAGTTTTTATGCTATCAAGCTTTTCAAAATGCCATTTTGCAGGTTTTTTCAAGAGCTATAACATGAAATAAGTTAAATTTTCTTTCAGCCTTTATTTTTGTAAGGGTCTGAGCTGAAAGGGCTTGAATAAGTTGCTATTTACGAACATATACAAACTTCAAACGGCCATATCTTACCTAATTTATATCCTACAGAAGAAAAAAAACAAAATTTTCAAGAAAACTGAACCTACAATTTTATACTCTACATCATCATTAATAGTTTTTGAGTTATTTTGAAGAAAAGACAATTTTTTTCAAAAATACAAAAATTTTCTTTTCACTTCAAGCTCAACTTTTTTCAAAACTAAGCACTTTAAACCGGTCAAGCTTCTAGAGCATATTACAAGTACATAAATAAAGTAAACGGTAAAGTGGTAACGATTATTTTCAAATGGGGTAGTAATTAGGGGGTGATTTTCACGTTTTTTTGTCGTCGAAAACAATACGGGCCAACTTTATTTTCGTTATAACTCGCTTAGGTTTGATGCTAGGGACTTTTAGAAAAAATAAAGGTTTTTTTCAAGCACTTTAAAAAAGGTTCCCTGAAAAATGCATTGGTTTTTCTATACTTAAGCTACATTTTTTATAAGAATGATTTTTTTTTATAAAATACTTACTTTTTGAGTTATTCGCGAAAAACTGTCTGAAAAAGTGTTTTTTTTGGTTAAAAATTACACTTTCACTCGCGAATAAGTGGAAAAGTATTGACTTTCAGAAAAAACTGTGTAGAACAAAAACTGCTTAGAATTAATCCCGGAGTTATTTTCAATGAAACATTTTTCACCCCCGAGAAGGGGTGGCATCGAACCCCAAGGTAAAAGCAACCACCGTTACAAGGTCAACTTTAAAGTAGAGGGTAAATAGAACCTAAATCCAAATTTTTATGAAAATCGGTGTTGTTTGGCAATATTATACGGGAAAATGATCATTGACTGGACTACTAATCGTATTATACAATATTTTACGATATAGAATAATTTGAGCGTATTATTTATATTAAAATCCATACCTAACTAAATAGTAGAAAATTAATAGTTTTCATATACTCATATATTGGAATTCGTGGCTACGAAAAACTTTAACCAACCATATAAATTACTTAAATATTAAAAAAAATTGCCACTTCATTTGAAACCTTATCGAAAATCTTATTTAAAAAAGTCTCTGCCGCTGAAGAGTATTAAATAAGTGTTTTAACAACCAACTTTACTAACCAAAAATTGTCTCGGCTTTTCCGCTAACTCCGTATACGTTAAGTCTATCAAATGTGTTTATAATTACTGCACCTATGTGTATTTTGCACCCTATGGTATAACACGAACACAAAATATTTCCACTGCTGCTGGGCCCAGGTGGAGACCATAGGGGATGCCTACATGGTAGTCAGTGGCGCCCCAGAGAAGGAAGGTAACCACGCCGAGAGGGTGTGCGACATGGCGCTGGACATGGTGGATGCTATCACGGATCTCAAAGACCCTTCCACTGGTAGGTACCGAAAAAAAAGGAATTTAGTTTTCAGCAATTGTAGGTACTTATTAGACAAGTCGATATTATTGGCACAGAACTTGAAATTATTTTTACTAGAGTGTGAGGCTAAGGAATTTAAAAATAATGTTATGTGCTCCCACTATAGTAGACTATTAATACATTGTTTTTAAGGAGTTAAGAGTTACCTCCCTATGAAAAAAAGCGATTTCGAGTTGTAAATGCATATTTTATGAACAGTACATTTTATTAATTATTATAAATGAATATTTATCGTAATTGTACAATTATTACATTTAGAAACATTTATAAAATCTGGATAATTATTCCCCTTGCGTTTACCTTCTAATTGTCAAATTTTTCTCAAAATGATTTGACCGCTCCATTTTAGTCACCGGAGGCTCAATATTATCTGACATATCCATTAAAACAGCATGATGCGACGTACTACTAGAACCTGGAATTGAAGTGTCATTGTACAGAATCCTATTGGCTATTTCCTTTTTGTTACTTAAACTGTCAGCAACACAACTTTTCGCAATGATTTCCACCCCCCATGTCTCTTGATTCCTAATACATCAACTTCTGTATTAGCCAGTAACGTTGCCGATGTTCTTCGGAATGAATGGCCTGTATATGTTTCAGGATGTCCTAGTTTCAAAAACTGTGCAATCTTATTAGGAATTATAGAAAGGGTATTCTTGCCGACTGGTTGGTTGTAACATCTACCTGCTTGATAGCGCATAAAAAAGCTTGAAATTTCAGTTTTAATTTTCAATCTAATCTTGACATATCTCTTGAGAATTTCTAGGTGAGAAAGAAACGAGAAATACTTGTAAACGTACGTGAGATACCATTTTCAGAATCTTAAATTGTAACTACAATAATGTCATCGAAACTTTTGAAATTGTCGTCCAAAGTAAGTTTGCATAACTCATCAGAATGTCATGCTGGTGCCATGCCTAAAACCGTCACTACCTTCATTAGTAAATATGCGTTATCGGGTACCTGAACGAGAAAATCGTTAACTTGTTCTCTTGCAAAACGACTTTTTAGGTGTATAGCCATCATTCTTACGTTTCAAAAATGCTCTCAACTTGGGATATTTTGATATATCCACGGTCTCCTCTGTGAAAATAGTTGACTTCATCATTGAGTATTCACTCCACAAACTCGCCGGTGACTTTAAAGTTGTCGACTTCTCCATGAAATATGCTAGCAGTGACTTTTCAGAAACACCAGTATTTTTGTTCTGGCACCATTCTTTGAAATTTCTATATGCTCGTCCGTAGCGTACTTTCCACTTCTCGAGCAATAAAAATTCGCAGGCAGGATTTGCTGCACTTTCTATTTGAAAATCACTCATTTAGAAATAATAATTCAAAACCAGCAAAATTGCAACTTTTAAGTAACTTTGTTTATAAACAGCTTAGAAACGACAAAATCCAAACAACGAAGGCGACTTTGTAAGATTTCGAATAATATCAAATTGAATTGATTAAGAAATGTCAAAAAATAAAACAATCTTTATTTCATGAACCATAAAGAACTATGGGAGCAGGAAATAAACTCCTATAAACAACTATCTATCTTGTGTTGGGTTTTGGAATTCTATCTTCAAAAAATTCTGAGCTGTCGATTTTATTGCTACTTAATTTGTACAATAAACTCACCTGCTGCTGTTGCAATGCTCACCGTTTTTTCAGTTAGTTCAGTGAGATAAATCGGGAACATAATATATCATGGAAGAATCATCAATCTCGGTATATTCCACCAGGTATGTAAATCGCAGATTTTACGAATCCTCTTTCAAACGATCCTGATTAACTTGATAATGGGATTCCAAACCAACGAAGCATGTTCTAGTTTAGGTCAGACAAAGCTGTTGTGTAATAAATTTAACAGTATTCTTATTTGTAAATTCTTTAAAATTTCTGACGTTCCTCTAAGTTCTTGCTAATAGAAGAAGTAATCACTTCTATATTGTAAAACACCAAGATTTTTTATAATCTATTAAAATCAAACTCATCAATATAATTAATAATTAGATATACATTCATGAACTTATTTTCTAGGCATCATATATTAATCTCTTTTCAATTATACACAACAAAACATTGGTGCGACATAAACTTACAGTGTCATGTTAAACATTGTTATAAATAAGTAGTCCTAAAATGGAACCTTGTAGTACATCTCACAGTTGTTGAAAGTCATTCGTCAAGATGTAAAGTAAAATTAGAAAGAATTAGTAAATTGTTTAACATGTCAAAAGGTTTAAAAGGTTCTTTTACAAAATATAATCTAGTTTATCAAATGCATTATAAAGGTCTATGTATATTATACCCACCTGACTCTGAGTTTTAGTTTTTTTCTTAGAAATTATGTAACATTGGAAATTGTATTCATTGGAAGAAATTGATACAATAAAATCTCAAAAATCTTATAATCTATAAGCAAAATTGCTTATAATTGTAATGTCATGAATACTATAAAGTCCAATGTAATTAGCTAAACCCATAACATGGTTTATTCGTAAAAATTTATTTATTCTTATCTATCGTAAACTTGATACCAAATAACAGATGATATTCATCAACAGGAAGTATAACCTCATTCACTTCATGAATAGAGAAAAATTTGTTATCACAGTTGAATACATTATAATTTTGAGTAATATTTGCCGAGTTCTGAATAATAGAACATTTTCTATCAGTTTTTAATAACACAGCCACACAAAAAAAGAATGTGTGTACTTTTCATGCGACGTATGTTATCCGTAGTATTTTTGCCTCCTGGTCACGAATCCGGTGTCAGAATTGAGCTATCACATCACAGGAATTTCCTAACCTCGCGCCAAAGGACCCCGCACAAATCTTATGGAAATTAGGTCCCGGTCAAATTCGCTGAATTTTTGATATGTGATAGAGTTCATCATACTGGTCAATTGTCTCAATGGCCACAAAGCTCAAAAATGGATAGTTTGGCCGGTACAGAGCTTTAAAGCTCCGAATATCCTCCACGGATTTATGTATATGCGCAGTGTGTATAGACTTTTGAAATAGCCTATTTCATTTTTTTTATTATCTAGGTTTATATTTTTGAGGTTGCTGAATTCAGATCTGTTGTTAGATTTTCAAAATTGACAGTTGGCAGCTGTCAACTAGCTGTCAATTTGCTATAATAAAGCCAGAAACTTGTTTTTTTATGATTTATTTTTTTTTTTTTTTAGTTCGATAAGTTCAAAGACGATATCAAATCAATAACAATGACTATCGGCAGCTGTCATTTAGCTGTCAACAATTCTTCAAAGTCCGGTAATAAAGTCAAAAAATTATTTTTTGTTTATAACTTCAAGTTTTTTAGATAAGTGAATATAAATATGATATAAAATTATGTAGTCATCAGCTTACAGCTGTCAACAAGCTGTCAACTAACTGTCAAAATGCAATAATAGAGCAAGTAACTTATTTTTTGTGCTTAACTTTGTGGATAAGAAATCAAACATGATATAAGTTTATGACATCACTTTTGAACTCAGTGATCTAAGCAACTTAAAGCTTTTTAAAAAAAGTAACTTTTTGACTTTATTATTGCATTTTGACAGTTAGTTGACAGCTTGTTGACAGCTGTAAGCTGATGACTACATAATTTTATATCATATTTATATTCACTTATCTAAAAAACTTGAAGTTATAAACAAAAAATAATTTTTTGACTTTATTACCGGACTTTGAAGAATTGTTGACAGCTAAATGACAGCTGCCGATAGTCATTGTTATTGATTTGATATCGTCTTTGAACTTATCGAACTAAAAAAAAAGAAAGATAAAACATAAAAAAACAAGTTTTTGGCTTTATTATAGCACATTGACAGCTATTTGACAGCTGCCAACTGTCAATTTTGAAAATCTAACAACAGATCTGAATTCAGCAACCTCAAAAATATAAACCTAGATAATAAAAAAAATGAAATAGGCTATTTCAAAAGTCTATACACACTGCGCATATACATAAATCCGTGGAGGATATTCGGAGCTTTAAAGCTCTGTACCGGCCAAACTATCTATTTTTGAGCTTTATGGCCATTGAGACAATCGACCAGTATGATGAACTCTATCACATATCAAAAATTCAGCGAATTTGACCGGGACCCAATTTCCATAAGATTTGTGCGGGGTCCTTTGGTATACGGGAGTTTTCTAGGTCGATGATCACGGATCCGAAATCAATTTTGCAAATTTCAAGATGGCGTATCCAAATAGCCGACCAAATTTTCAAAATATACCACATTCGCATCAAATTTCTATCCTATGCCAATCATGCCATGTAATTGATTTTAAATAAATCTTTTGCTCAGAAACCGAGAAAAAAAAATAGAAATCATTTTTTTATTAAAAACGAAACATGAATTCATTTATTGTTGTTTTTCTCGTAAACGGTTTATTTTATCATTTAATAAACAAGAGTACCTTTGTTTTAGTCTAAGACTGAAGCTACCCAGATTTATTGTTTTAAAGTCTTTATCATACAGGGTGTTAAAAATTTAGGCGTTAACTTTTAAAGCTTAGCCCGCCCCTGTAGACTAAAAAGCTAAATATGTTTCAAGGGCACTATTTTAAGAGGTCCTTACTAGTGTCCATAACATAAAAATTTTATTAAATTAGTACCCGGGAGATTTCCCACATTTCCCGGACACTGTATATTTTTAAATATTTAATAAGGTATTTTATTCATATATTTTCTTTTATATATCTTTTCCCTCAAAAAACAAAAAAAGTATTACGTCATTTGGGGTTTTCAGACTTAACAATTTTATTAATTTCTCAAAAACATGTTTTAAACTAAGTGTTGTTTTCGTACAAACACACGCAAATAGAAAACAAATCTTTATCATTCACCTACTTCATAGCGTGTTTATCATTATAAACGACCTCTACATTAACGCATTTCAAACAATATGTAATACGTGGATCATGCGGCGAATAACCTAACAGGAATTTATCTAGCAAATTTTGTCTACATTACTATTTGTCGCAGGTCAACACCTTCGCATCAGAGTAGGCGTTCATTCAGGAGCCGTAGTAGCCGGCATAGTAGGATTAAAAATGCCAAGGTATTGCCTTTTCGGCGACAGCGTTAATACCGCCTCCAGGATGGAGTCGACTAGTGAAGCTATGAAAATACATATATCACAGTCCACCAAGGAGCTGCTCCCACCGCCCTACAGAGTCAAGGAAAGGGGCGAAATCCAAATTAAAGGGAAAGGTTTGTTCGAATGTTCTGCATGCGTAGTATTTTTCCTCGGCGCTTCCTCCACGTCAGACCGGGCTAGCGGGCAAAGGAGCATGTCTGGTGGGCCAACTATATGGGTGGGGAATAATTGGCAAAACAGATTCATATACCTACAGGGTATAAGAAGTTTGACTGACATTACTTCAGTATGAGATAGAGTAATCACAAATGAACAAAAAAGTTGTATATTATAGAGGCGTAAGATTAACAGTTTCCAAAATACAGCGCGTATTAATATTGGGGAGTTTCCTCACAATATGACAACAGCGCTTTACCTAACCCTACACAGCTGATCCATACGACGTGTGCACGCGGCAGACTTGTCCTACGGAAAAAATGTAAACAACTATTATTGTTAAACATTTAGTAAATTTCAAGACAATTGTTTTCCAGTTTTTAAATAAATTAAATAATATGTATCGATTTTGTAGTACGAAGATAGTGTTGTGCTTAAATTTTAGCTCGAATTTTAGTAATTATTAATCTCTTAAAACAGGACCTTGAATTTTAATCAAATTATGAATTTGAAAAATATGTAATTAAAGTACCCAAAGTTACACGCGCAAGTACAAGTACAAGTACCTCCCAAAGATTCACGTCGTCTAAATAATCATACGTATCAAAAATAATTTAGGTACTTACCAAAAAGCAAAATTCAGTAATTTTTAAACGCACAAGTACAAAACAAACTACAACATATATGTTCAAAATATCCATTACCATTTAAGATGCACGTACGACAGCTTCGAATCCAATTTTTGCGAACTCGCTGGAAAAAGAAATAGTAGTAGGTACGCAAAAAACACTCAGACACAGTCTAATTCCAGATGCCAACTGAACTGCGTATTACTGGACACCTTAGTACCTTTAGCAAAATTGTTGGGCTCAAATCAATATCTTCTGAATATTTCTTTTAAAGATTTTTGCTAAAATTTGTGGCAAAAATTGTTATTTTATATGTTGTTAAATTCAGACAAAAATTGTATCAGACCATTAGGGTAGGCGTTGACAAAATGATAGTAAATGTCAGTCATAGTATTATCGCAGAGATTAGCGCTAATCTTTTGTTTTTTAAAGTCGAACCGAAACTNAAGATTTTTGTCAAAATTTGTGGCAAAAATTGTTATTTTATATGTTCAGACAAAAATTGTATCAGACCATTAGGGTAGGCGTTGACAAAATGATAGTAAATGTCAGTCATAGTATTATCGCAGAGATTAGCGCTAATCTTTTGTTTTTTAAAGTCGAACCGAAACTGGCGGAATATTTTGCGACCCTTTTTACGAGACACTCAGGATGTTACATAAAGTAGATCAAGCCGTCACAGAATTTTGTTAGAAAATAATGGGACTTCCCTTTTTGTATTTCCTATGTTACTTTGATAAAAAAAAAACGTCTCGCGAACGGAGGAAAAGAGGGTCATCATTGAAATTTTGTTTTTGAGGTTTTGTAGCTTTTCAGGAAGTAAAATAGAACCAAGGTAACATATCTGAATTATTTTTTTACTAGAAATTATGACTCATTCGCTTCCAAACACCCTGTGTACCATTCAAGGCCAACTAACTGTGGATTAAGAAAATGTATTACCAGAATTTCCTGCATGGTTTTTGTTACTGGTTCATATATTTTCAATTTACCATAATGTAAATAATTTTAGGATTCAAGAAAAGTTATTAAATATTACCCTGGTAAACGAAGTCAACCCCGATCCAGTTTTATAATTAATATTAACTTCGTGTCAATAATTTTTCTTTGCGTTGTTACGTTATTTGAAGGTTATTGGGGTTAAAATTATGGAAGGAAACCTAAAAATTGAAGTAAACATCATTAATACTAATCAAACATCTAATCCTTAGGGAGATATTGTTACAAAACAAGTGTTTTGTTAAGCAGAGACAGCTTCCTCCGACCTTTTTTATTTAACTGGAAAAAAATTGTTAAATATTTTCTTTCGTTTTAATTTAATGTTAGGAAGCACGTTTGTAATCCCTTTACATTAATTTTATTACAGAAGTAGCAATTTTAATATTAGTAGTGTTTTATAACTTCAAAAGTTGTAATATTAATGTTTTATTCCATATCTATACCCAAAACATACCTATTTTAATTTTAAATATTACTTTTATTAATAATATAATCTGGTTTAACTTAATTGTTTGATACCAACAAAATTTCTTCAATTTTAAATTTGGATTTATTTATTCTAGTCCAATTTTAGAAATGTATATAAACTTATCTTTTAAATTTACATCACAGATTTTGTCGAAAATATTGTCGAAAATGAAAATATATTTATTATTGTACTAATAATAATCTACTTGTAAATTAAAACAATTACTAAATTTGTATGAACCTTCTTATCAATTAACTTTCAATGAAATACAAAATGAAACATTTTACTTGACAAATGTCATTTTATATGTTTCAGAGACAATTTGTTTTGAATTAAGTTAAACATGAAATTTTCCATGAATAGAACTCGAGATGAAATATTTTTCCTATCAATTTCAACATTTTTACCTATTTAATGTTAATGTTAATTCTGTAGGGTGACATTAGAATAAGCTCTTTAAAAAACAGTAGGTTCAAGAAATATGTTCTAATATTCATCATCCTTAAATTGTTATCAAAACAATCCACTGGGAAGGTGACTCGGGGACCTTCAATTAAATTGTATTTGCAGAAATAATTGAAAATACTGGTATTTTTTATTAAATATACGATATCCGACCTCGTTATTGCAGAGTTTTGCTCTTGGTTTAGCTTTACTTTCCAATTTCGCTTCGCCCAGAAATTATCAAAAATTATTTATTAATTGTGAAATATAAAAGTGTTTGTTCTCGTTATTTTGAAATTTTGCTTTACTCTTACTTTCAATTTCGTTCTCCTTGGGCGAGCTTGTTAAATATCAAAGCAAAGCCGTACGACTATGTACATTCCAATTTTAAATATTCGTAGGGGAAATTTGTTCCAATAACATGGCTGCAAATTTGATGAAATTCAAGGCAAATCCAGGAATAAAACAAACAGTACATATTATAAAATTACATAATACATCCTTTGAAGTAACGATAGTTAGGGCAACTTTTTTTTTCTGTAAGCCCTTGTTCTTTACTTTCGCATTGGTTTCCTTTTGGGACTTTTTTCTAATTTTATGGCAGTGTACAAATTGCTAATTTTATTAAATTAGAAAGAGTAAAACATAAGAGAACTTAAACATTTACAAAAGGTACAAAATATTTGTGTAGATTGAATTATTGGTTATTGATGTTCAGTTAAATAGACTTACAAAAAAGTAGGTCCGAGCATTAACCACAAAGTCTTTTTTTAATTTCGTGACCACTTTCTCTACAAAATACAGAGTATTAAAATTAGAATAAGAAAAAACATGTTTTCAGGTTATTATGTGTACCCACCAGTTACAACATTCCTTAGCCTTAGCTAGAAACATTTGAGCTGCTCTTGTTGTTTTCGGGCTAGACTTTATAGGGGTGGACCCGCTATTAGAACCTCCAGGGCCGTCCTGATATGGATATCGATTTTTATTGTTAGTTCTGTCCGCCCTGACAATACTGGAAGCATAACCCGAAACCCATGGTACTTAAACTAATAGCCCGGGCTTTATTCCATATTATTTTTTTAATATGTTCGATTTCACATTTTCTGTAATTTAAAAAAATAGTCTGTAGTTTTAAAAATACTACTTTGTGTTTCTGAATAACAAATATACGATAATTTTTTATTGGGTCTGTTTTATACAATTTCTATTTATACACTTTCCTTATAAGGAACAATGAAGACGTACTGGTTACAAGCCAAGGAATGTAGGGCTCCTGTGCCAAGAATCGGGAATGCAGTTTTACCAACACAAGAGATTGAAAGAAAACTGGAACCCAAGCAGTCGACGAGCCATCCTAATCCACCCAAAGAAGCGGGCAGACCTGTAGTTTATTCACCCATCACTTTTCAGGACGTGGCAAGGAGGAGTATAGTAAATTCCCCAGAAAAGTCAAATTCGAGAGGTAAGCAAAAATCAGAAGTACCGTAATGAAAAAGATTGTAAATGCATAGTGCAATCTGTTTCTATTATAGCAACCCCTTTAATTTATTGTATTTTCTCTTCTTTTTTGTGAAAGTTATCGGAAAATGCTCCAATAATTTTATAATTCAAGACCACCACTTATTTGAATATTTTTTTTACAAAAATTGGAAACGTACTAGTGGATTTTTTTGGTTAGAATCGCTCAATAAATAAGTTGCACTGCCTAACTTCTGCAAGACGCTGATAAAGTGACTTTTTTGAAGAGACAAAAATAACAGAATTTTTTTTACTATGAAGAAATGAGTTATTCGCAACTGTAACCGATTAGAATCGGTGATCAGGAACAGAGGCGGCAATACCTGATATTAAATTGTGATCTGCAACGACAAATTAACCTATTTTTTTTGACGTTTGTGAAGCTTGTGGATATATTAAAAAAAATTTGAAAAAATAATTAGTGAAAAATTTTTTTTAGTTTTTTAGAATCATAAACGTTTTTTGATGAAGAAAATATGGTTTATTGCTAAAAAAACACATTTTTAACTTAAAAAAAATAAATAAAAAGTGAAAAATTACTTATTACATTGATTCTCAGTAAAAACGACAAATTTAAACATTCCGGGCACTAAGAAAAAAAAATCACAGAGTTTTGAAATTATCAGGGTTTCTTTAGGACACTTTGAGGTTGAAAAGTTACAGTCAATATCCTTAATTTATTCATTATTTGCAAAGTTATGCCAAGTTATTCAAATATCCCTAATTATGCAATTTTTTACCTTTTTCAACATCAATCAACATTTTCACTTCGAATTTTTTTTTATCAAAAACCAATAATTACGACTTGTAGAGAATACTTTGCAGTTTTTAAAACTCTGCTTGGATTTTCTGTACGACCATTATTTCCCGAGTAATTGATTGCCAAAGTCAAAAATAATTTTTTCGCTTTAATCGATGATAATGAAATTACCAAAAAAGTTTTTTTGAAGTCTATAGGCCTTTTTAAAGAAAAGTAAACGTTTACAATTTTTTTTTTTCGTTGATTTTCTTATAATTACTGAAAAACTGCTGATTTTAAACTCCAGATCCGAAAACTAGACACTTGAAGCTTCAATTTCCTTTTTTTTATTCTCTCTACCATCATTTTCCTTCAAGTTACAAAACTCTTTGAAAATCACCCAAAATCTTGGGATTTTTTAAAAATCCCTTAATTTCTATGCCTAGTGTATTTTGCAAAGAATGTATTTTTAAGTTTCCTCAAGGACCTATTCCGAGAGCCCAAACTAACATTGTTCGCCATATTTTTATCAAGCTATCTATAAACAATTGAGTTCCAAGTAACTTCTTTTTTTGTAACTCTATATGAGTTGAATTAAAAGGCATATTACTGAAGAAATTTGTTATGGAAAAGCTGCAATTTCTTGTTCTATGATATTTTGGCTAATTAGGAATGGCATTTCCGTTTACAGAACTGCGATCGAACTCAGCGGGAGCTGTGTTCCCCTTGTACGACCCAGCCGACTACTTTGGATCAATGGTTCTTGCAGGCAACGAAGAAACCTACGGGATGTGCCCGCTTAACATCCCCTTCCAGTTTAGAAACCGAAGTACCACGGCTCCACCAAGGACAAACTGCCAGCAAGAAGTGAGTTTGATCTCTCAAGACAAGCCCCTGAAGACCGCTCCGTCAATTTTACTCAACAACTCCATCGAGAATCACGTCAATCACAATAGCAGAGAGGAAAAGCCTGTCGCCAAAGTCAACTCAAATGCGGCGAACAGTCACAGTGAAGTTGCTGTGCAGCAGCCGAAGAAGGAATACGAATTCGGCAAATCCATGTACCAATACGCGAAGAAGCTCGAGAACAAGTTCGAGAGGAACCATAAAGAAGTCGCCAATTCGAAAAGTGACGGGAACCTGTGTAGTAGGAAAATAGAGTCGAATAGTATATCGAACAGTCAAAGTCAGCAGTTTCCTAGACAGCATCGGCAGCACGATCAATGCTGCACCAGTTTTGGTACGTCGCACAGGAGTAGATACCAGAGCAATGCTTGTAGTATAGTTTAGATGAATTATTTTTTTATGTAGCTCAATTTCTGTGCTTCAAAACGAAGGAACTGATTATGTGTAGTGGTACAAAGAGAATTTATTAATAAAAAAAACGTACTTTCGAATAAAACATCGTAACTTTTATTAAAAAAATAAGAATGGCTTATCAACTATGGAAAACGTACAGGGTGTTTCAAATTCAATAGTATGGGCCTAAAATTTAAATAAAATTTGGGATACGTGATGTTAAATGGGATGAGGTAAGCTCAATTTCCAATCGAAAGTATTATCTTTGGGATTTGACAGAAACGACTAATGACGCCATCAATTATATTTTTTCCAGAAACATATCCAAATTTTTTTTCCTGTTCCTCTTTTTTCTGATAAACTTCAAGGATCAAGTAGTCGTTGGAAAATAATTGAATGTTCATTCTATAAAGTACATAAATGTCATTAAGAATAAATAAAAGGATTAAACTCGATAATTCTTTAATACAGTTAAAACAAATGACAACAATAACTAAACTTAAAAAATGAGGCAACACTTTCACATTCTCCAGAAGTGCAGGAAGTTCTTCTTGTAAGAAATTGAGGTAACTCACGCTGTTCAATGTATGTTCATAAAAATAAGGCCCAATTAAATGTCTATGCCGATGATGCCGCACCACACATTTAGTCTGACTTTCGTCCGCCCAAAGAACGTGCCGAAAAATGTTCTGAACAACAGTTTCTACATTTACTACAATTTGAGGTATAAAATTGTCTATTTTCAATGTGGCGCTCAAGCAAATACTCCAAATTGTGAATTTTGTAGTCATGAATGATGATGAATGATTTATCCAAATTGAATTCCTGGCTAACCTGCCGTATAGAATTCCGTGGATTTTGTGTATTAACATTGTTTTCGGTGAATTATTTGAATTTTTCGAACAGGAAATGCATTTTCATTTCGTCGCAAGGAATGAGGCGCTCTGGATACCTTACTCGATATAAGTCTACATCTTCTTGAATTTTTTTGTGACTCGCCGTAAATTAGCAACGTATCAACATTTTCTGAATGAGAAAACATTTTGTAAGCACAGGAGTTATACGTTTGATGTTCATATTGAGTAATGACATTTTGTGACATTTATGCACTCTAAACAACGAACATTCAATTATTTTCCAACGACTACTTGATCCTTCCACCGCTAATGCGATTTTTAGGTGGTATTTCGTTTGAGACTCTTTAGGGCGACATTGCTTATAACCTTTAAACGGGATATAATACAGAAAAATGTCTCTAATAAAAGTTTATTAGAAAAAAGGGAGCTTTTTAACAGGAAAAAAACTATGATACGTATTGGCTCTTGATCATGTTCCTTAATCAGTTCTTTGGTTAAAACTGTACCATAAATGACAATACCGTTACATATAGTTGTAAAACAATCAGTATTTCCCTTATTCAAATATTCACGTATAATGTTTTTAGTTCGTTTAGATTGGATTTAAATAGATCAGTGTCGTGTTGTTACGTTATGTACTTGTAATCTTTATAATTCACTCAAAGTTACGTTGCAATTAATACCAAAGAGAAAAGTATTTATCAATGACGAATAAGTAAGTGTTTGGCCATATCACATGTGTTATAGTTATTTTGTGATTCATGCTATCGTAGATAAGCAAGTTAGGTAAATATTCAGCAAATAATCCTTCGCAAATGTGTTAATAATGTCTGGGAGTATGTTGATAACTTTCAATGTATGTTATTTGTAATGAACATTTTTTATCCGTTCTTCTATAAAAAAAATGTAACCAAATTCTATGTATTATACAAGGTGTCCCATTTAAGATAGGCTCTTCTATAATCCAATAATACAAAAAATTGTTTCATGTAAAAACTACACCAAATCAATCAACAATATGTATTCATGAGACCAATGAGACACATTTTCTTCTATAAAACTGACTTCTAATTTAAAATAATTAATTTATTATGTATTTCATTTTCCTGAAGTGTATTTTATGTCATTATATCATTAAGTAAATTGTTTTGCTCATCTTTGCCATTGATTCCACAATCTGGATGGGATCCGTTATAGATCGCATCATCAGGTATGTTTCTACCTTTGTTTCAGCGAAACTTATTCTCGGCGACAATAAAATATCTTAATCTGTAATGTGTAATATTTGCATAATTAAATAATAATCTTCCAAGCTGGTCCGACACGGTAATTTCCACTCGGGGTTATATTTATTCCAGTAGGAATAAAGTGTTTTATTATTTACTATATCAAATGGTAGATTACATGCAATCAGTATGAAGATTAAATCAAACAAAAATTGAGTGTTCTGGTTTTCGCCAGTTTTTTTTTATGCGTGTGTTGTGCATTGTTTAATACTTATTACTTTATGTTTATTAATATTTATTTTCAACGTTTTATACATATACATACAAGTATGTATATACTGAAAAGAAAGTATTATTTGTTATTTAACTTTGCCTACGACCACATGCGGTTGAAATACCACATGTTGAGTGCCGCTTTGTTGGACAAATTTACTAATGATAAAGCTGTGATGCTGGCCTGAGTACATAATTTATTACTCCTTGCTTTTTTTATTAATTTTATAAAACAGTCAAACATTTTAACGAAGGGAGCAGCTTCAATAGGTGTTTTTAGAACTCATTATTTTCCTTTACTTTCATAAAATATTTTCTATTCAAAAAAATATATCTCTGATTTGTTTTCCACTTGAACAGTTTTACATGTTAATAATTTTGTAGCTACCTACCGGTGAAGTTCTTTTTTTGTCAGAATTGTTTGTTGTTTTTTAGCACTAACTACGGTCGACATAATTACACACAATTATTCATCAAAAGGCAACTAAAATCGTAAAAGAAATCGTACTGTTGTCTTTGTTATCGTGCGGATGTTGCGTAATTAATTTCTATGCGTTTGCGTTTATCTTGGTGTATTATTGTAGTTAATTTAATTTGTTGCTTTTAAATAAATAATGGGTACGCCTATGTCCCGCGGCTCAGTTCTGACAGCCTAGTAATAAATACTATTTGTAATGTATTATGCAATGCAGAAGATTAGTTTTTTCTTGCTTAAACGAATAGTTAAAACCGCATTTGTAGTTTCGGAGATATTTTCGAAGTGGCAACTTTAAAAAAAGGTCAATTAACACAAAAAATGTGCATTTTAAACCCAATATCTGTTTATCAGAGTAGAACTTAAATTCGACGAAAAATTAAAAAATGCAGTAACACAGATAGCGCTGAGAAGAAATAAATATTAATTTAAATTTTAATTTGAGAAAAAAATTGATTTAGGTATGCTTTTATTTGAAACACTCGTTTGTATTATCGATATTACGGGAGTTATTCTTATGTGTGACACCCGTATGTATGTACAGGGTAATAAAACTAGAATATGTCGTGAATAAAAGAAAAATGTTTCGCTCGTCCATTTTCTTATATAAATTTTTACCCTCAAATCTTTCATTTTTGAGTTATCTGGGTGCTATGAAATCTTCAGAAAATGTTGTCTACCTAAATATCTGAAATTCAATTGTATGTACACAATACATGAATAAAATACCATTCAATGCAGTCCAAATAGTGACGTGCCACTGAAAAAAAATTTTTTTGTTGATTTTGAAAGAAAATGATGTTTTGCATAACTTATTTGCATTAAGTTCATGAATCATTGCTGTATCACCCTGTATAACTCTAAATTTAACTGAACGTAAAGTTATGCAAAAAAGTCAATAGAAAGTTTTAATTCAAAATAAAATTAACCTAGCGAAAATGAATATGTTGTTCAATATACAAATGTAACTAGCATACCTCATACCTATTCCACTAGTTTGAGCTGACACTTCATTTCAGTTTGAATGCAATTTTATTCATGTATTGCGCACACAAAATTTCGTTGAGAGTTTAATGGCAATGGCATAAATATTTTTAAATTTTGACGAGAAAAACAAAACTTCATTTTTGAAGGTTGTAATGTTTATTTCCTGCAATTACTATCAGTTGAAGATATTAATGGAACATAGAACACGTTGCTAGTACTTAACAAAGTTAGTATGATATATTTTTCTATTGAAATTTCCTTGTAGAATGACCAAATGATTACACTTTTTAATTATTTTTTAATTTAGTGAGTGATATAGAAATGTTTAATAAGTAAATAAGATATTAAAAATACTCAAGAGATACTTGTAAATGTGAATATAATGTTGTTAGTATCTGTATTATTATGTACATATCAGAACTTTAATAAAAATTATTAATTTATGTAGTATGATTATTTTAATTTCATTTATTTTCTCTCTTCATGAAAAATACATTGTCCCGTTGGCCTAATTCCCCATAATCATAAATATTTCGTTAGAATTGACAATCTACTGCAGTGAATGGTTTATGATTTTGGAGAATAACAAAGTACTGCAGTCGCCCTTCATTGTGGGGCAAAATCTCTATCGCCAAACCTTTAGATGAGGTTACTGTACCTTCAAATCCAAGTCCCAAACGTGCATTTCTAATTTCACTCAATTTTCAAATCTTAAAAGCAGAAGACGTAGCACCTATGCTGTCAAAGTCAGAATCTAAACAAAACAGCAGTGTCCGGGAATTCGCGAAGCCACCTCGCAGATGATCGAACGTCTACCCTGATATCTCGCAGTTCAGTAACCAGAGCAGAAATCTCTGGCCAGCATATGTACACGACCCGAATTCAAACGTATTGATTGTCTCAATATCCTGAAGCCGTCCTTGCTTATTTAGAGGGTAATAATTTCTAAGGCAGTACCGACAAGTACAATGAACCTAAAAAACTATATAAAGATTTTTTCCAAATATATTGATCGAATTCCATCAATTAATAATCTTGTCTAAGAGAGTAGATATCTTTTGCAGACGTATATTTTTGGCATCAAAAAAAAATTTTTTCACTTCGTTTGAAAGGACTTTTTTGAAAAATTCTATTAATTTGAATTAATTTAACACCTTTAAAATAAATTTTTAATACTTACTTACCTTTACTATGATTTTGAATGTCCTCCATTAATTTTGAACAAAAATTAGTCTAATTTTAACCTAAGTTTAATTTAATCACATTAATACAACGTTTTTTTTTGTCTTCATTTTCAGAAAAGTTTCAACTGTCTTTAACTTTGTGTTTTGTAAAAAAGTACTGCCAAAGAATAAAATCTGTTGGTTCCACCAACGTCTACAATTTGCTTTTTGGAGAAATTCATGTAGACTTGTTACGTAAATACTATCCAAAATCCGATTTAAAAAATTCTTATGAAATTTTACTGTAGGATTGATTAAACTGTATTGTACATCTTTGATGACGGAAAAAATCAATTCAAAGTCTTTCTTGTAAATTTATTTAACAATAATTATATCATTATACAATACTAAAAATATAGCACTGAAATATGCTTACATAACATACTGTTTTAAATTAAATACAATACAAAACTAGATAATATCAGAGTATTTCTTAATTTGTTAATATTTTTTCAAGAAAATGAGAAACTACTCTGCCACCCCTTAGCATGAGGTCCAAACTTGTATACCAATCTCTTTCCTGGTACAGGTAGTAGGACTTTATTCTTATAGTGATACCTAAAGCAAATAAAAAATAGCAATAATAAACCTGCAAAATGTATTTGTCTTGGTCTTAATATAATAGAAACCTACCGCATCGCCCTAGTAAATTTTTCATAATTCATCGTCTTATTGTGATTCCTGCTACCCCATAGGCGTGCGACGGTGTCACTTTTAACAAACTTAAAAGTGCCCTCCTCGTAGTTTTCCCATTTTATGAGTTCCGTCTTTTTGTCGTGTAGCAAATGAAGCAAAAATTCCCAAAGTTTTTCAGACCTCTCTGAAATAAATAGATACAATTCCTCCATTGAACTACCCCAACTACCCATTCTTCCATCCCACCCTCCCCCAAGTTAATATTTTAAAACAGAAAAAATAAAAAAATTAAAAAAAAAATTAAATTTTGTCTACACCATTCCTTCAAAAGACTATAAACCATCATCTGCTGATTATCAAAATGTCTTTATACGTATCACAAATGTAAGCCATGCTTTGTTTAAAGTTTACCGAATATATCAAAATAACAATAATCAAAAATCAGTGCATCCGTTTACCTTTTCTTTTTCGTCTGCATTCCGATTTCGGTCTTCCCACTCGCTTAGATGATTTTTCTTCAAAAATATCTGTATAATAAAAACTATTTACTAAGTTTCAATTACATTGTATTTCATTCAGTAAATGAATTATTTTACCTACCGTATACATCAGATTCCCGAGGATACTCCTTATTTACGGCGATGCAATAATCCTCCTCCTCTAAAATAAAGATTGCAACAGTAAGAAAATAAATATGTAATGTCAAATTAAAAAAATACATTTTGAATCATTTTTATTTATTTACGCAGTCGTAAATAATTGAGAAACCAGATACCTCTTGATATCATCTGCCTTCCCGTTAATATTAAAATAGGGTTCCAAATTGTGAAGTTAAATAATTAAAAAAAATTTTCCCAATTCTAGGCTTACCTATACATAAAAGTTTAGTAGTCATAATTCGTTATTCAGTTTCCAGTTCTGATCTTCGGAATCAGAACCAACCAAAACTGTTAATCTTACGCCCCCGTAATATACAACTTTTTTGTTCATTTATGATTACTCTACCTCATGCTGAAGTAATGGCATCCAAATTTCTTACACCCAGTATACACTGCAGATATGTTAAATAAATGAAATGAAATATTTTTTTATGTTACAATCTATTCCTCAAACTTTGTTATAATTTTTGTAAATATAAATTCCTTTCTCTCTTTCTTACTTTTTTGCAAATAGTATACCCGCAGCCATTTGGATTATTCTACAATCCTCTGATGAACAAATCCTTGACACGGATCTGCTGTAGCGGGTTTCGAACCAACAGGTGAACACCGATATCGAACCAATCTAATACTTGAGTGGGCCTTTGAGACATCATCTACCATAACTCCTATTACTGCGATACTACATTTAAGAATATAACTTTACCGAACCCAGTAGTATGTACAAAATTTATATAAATTATTTCTGTATCCACAATGATAAAATAAGTAAATAATAACTCCCTGCTACCTACTTTCCTATAAATGTTATGGGTGTTAAAATTATAATCTCTTGGACTTTCTCTAAAAAATGGAATATAAAAATTACCTTTTCGACTTAATAAAAGTTGCGATAGAAATATTTATTAATTTATTGTTTCTGCAGTTCAATTTGTTCAAATATCTAACAATTCTAAGGTACCCCTATTTCATAGCACACAAAATTTGGACTCTGTAGTTCCATTTTTTTCAATTGATTATTATACATATTATATGTATATTAATCATATAGTTAACAATGATTTAAAGAAATAACGATCTAATCTCTGTCACTAGAAATACAATAGCAATTTTCTGTGCGTAGCTTAGTGCAAAACGATTCTTTCTTTTTTGGCGTTAATTTTGACGATTAGTGCTTATTTCTACTTCTTGTGCTTAGAACTTTTCCTCTCAAAAAGGAAACACATTTTCATAGAAAGTATAATTACGTTAAAGCTCAACAAACAAATCATAAATCTAAATAAGTAAATTCTAAAATAAATATGTTAGGTACCTTAGAAACAATACAAAGTTAGCTGTACCTACGATGAGTATTTCATTTTCGTTCAAACAAATTTCGCATTATCTTCATTTGCATACGAATCATTCATAAAACATCGAAACAAGGTCATAAAATTGTTGCGTAGATAAATGCAGATACTTCATTTAGGGAGCAGGTATTAACAATTCGTTGTAATTTGGCGCAGCATTATGGTAGGCGTTACCCTCCTATTATTTCCAGAAATGTAATTAATGAAAATATAATTAACAAAGCAAATAGTACATATCTAATCTAATCTTCAAACAATAGCAATAAACGGGTAGTAAGGAATAAAGTCAAAACACATGAAATCAATTTTTTGTATAAAGTAACTTTTACAATTCTAAAATGATTCTGAGTAGGCGGCCGTAACAACGCACCTAGCATTGAATTAAATGCATGCGGCTACAACACATTGCCTTGCATAGTCAACTCGAGCTTAGTATTTTTATTCAGTATGAAGAAAAACCAATAAGCAGTAAATAGGCTGATTATATTTCCTTATACATTCATAAAGGTGATCAGAAGATGAAGACGAAAGAGAAAGAAAACTAAATCACTGAAATACTCACTAAACGGATTTCTTCTTATATAATTTTCCTTTGCTTCAAAGATAATCGTACCCAGTGGTTTAGAATCTGCTAAAATCTGACAGTATTCTTCCTGCAGATTTATAAATATATTTCCAGAGATGCATCTAAATCTCTCTAGATTGCAAGATTCAAGGAATCCGAAAATAATTTCAGTTTTTATGAAATCCAAAACATCTTCGGCAGTCCACCGAACCATGGGAGTATGTTTCCAAGTCGGTGTACATTCCAATTGATTTGACGATTCTGTGAAATAACTATTTTTCAAATACAAAAATAAAGAAATAACAAAAGAAATTTAAAAAGTGGACATCGATTTGTTGATATACCGTACGCACCTAAAGTATGGAATAAATTCAGTAAAAACGAAACAAATCTCGCACAGATCGATTTTTAATTTACATATTTGAGCATAAAAGTCGATTTTCAACCGTCATTTGTTTTCGAGGAATGACGTCATCGTCATTTTTTTTAAATAGCAACCCCTATTTTTTTCTTGATTCTGAAAGATCGATTCATTGTCGATCCGACAGTATCAAAATCTTACCATCTTACATAGGAAAGTTTTCGAGTAAATGGCGAATGAATGTTAGAAAGCCCAAATTAATTAAAATAAAGCAAAAACGTTATCAAATTTAGTTTTCCGAAATGCCTGAAGTTTTTTATGGATCACGTAGGTGTAAATCTTTACAAAGAGTCACTGTCATACCGACTTTCTAAGTTTTGTAAGCGATATAAAAATTATTGTTGAATTTAAAGTATTATGGCACATTTAACTGTCACACAAAGAATTGAAATTTTAATTCTTTTCGGATGCGGGGATAAGACTAAAAACGCAGCAGGAAGTTTGCGATTTATTTAATGAAAAACATCCAGATCGCCGTATCAGCCAGTAAGATAGAATCTAAATTTAGAGAAACTGGCAATGTTGTAGATATTCCAAAACCTAGACATCCAAGCGTTAGTGAAGATCACAAACAGAACATTTTGAAAAGTATGGTAGATAATCCATATTCTTTAAATAGTGTTTTCCGCAAAGACAAATAATTTCAAACATTTAATAACTGAATAATCTAAAGCTTATCAAATAATAGGAATGTTATGTCATGCCACCTGAGTATTTTCAAAGACGCCGCAGTAAAACGAATAAACAGGTGCAAAAAACGATCAAACCATCAAGGTTTTAGGTACTGAAATCTACGAAAATACTAACTTTTTTATATATAATTCCACATGTAAATATTCTTATAACATTTACTTGCTTAGTCCTACATATAAAATTGTTTACTTTTATTTATAAGTACGTGAAAATAATTCTTAAAATGTGGGGTTAGGATAACAGAAAACGCATGTTTTACAAACGCTTTTTTTTAGTTATTATTTTATTTGGGTAAATTTAAATGGTAACAATGAATAAACAAAACATCAAGGACTTTATTTTTGTGCTTACTTTTGTTCTACACGTTTTACTTTTCAAGATTTTAGTACCTAAAAATGCCAGAAATTTCACCATTTCTCGGCCACCTTAAACAATGAAATTAGGCAGACCACAGTGCTACGTATCCTGAGGCAGGAAAAATATCATCCCTCCAAAATTCAACTTGTGCAGGAACTCAATGAAGACAATCCCGACCGCCCCTTACACTTTTGTAAAAATATGATGGATTTGTGTCAAGTAAATAGAGATTTACACCGGCAAATAGTTTTTTCAGACCCACGTTTTGTCTCAATGGTACAGTAAACCGTCAAACTTGCAGGTATTGGAGTCGGGAAAATCCTCATTGGATGGCAGCGACACATAACCAACACCCACAGAAATTAAATGTGTGGGCTGGAATAGTTGACAACAGAATAGTAGGGCCTTTCTTCTTTGAAGGCACCCTTGCAAGAGAAAGATATTTAGAGTTTTTACAAAATGACCTTGTTCCAGCGCTTGCAGTAATTTTTCCTAACGATAATGACCCTGATATTCCTGATGACACCATATGGTTTCAGCAAGACGGTGCACCTCCGCACTATGCGCGCCCTGTTCGAGATTTTCTGGACAATTGTTTTCCTAGGAGGTGGATCGGCAGACGAGGACCGATAGAATGGCCCGCGAGATCCCCAGATCTTACACCCCTGGACTATTTCTTATGGGGCTACTTAAAGTCCAAAGTGTACGTTAATAGACCACATAATTTAGAAGAACTCCAAAATTGTATTATAGATGAAATACACAGAGTTACCCCAGAAATAATTCATAATGTGCAAGAAGAATTTCTACACAGACTTGCGTATTGTCAAGAAGTCGGTGGGTGGCAATTCGAACACTTAATTTAGGTAGAAAACTTAATGAATTGTATTTGCTTGACATAGGAATTGTTATTTTTTTAATGAATAAAATTTACGTTTTCTAACATTCAATCGTCATTTACTCGAAAACTTTCCTATGTAAGATGGCAACATTTTAATACTATGGGATCGATAATGAAACGATCTTTCAGAATCAAGAAAAATAATAGGGGGTTGCTATTTAAAAAAAAATGTCGATGACGTCATTACTCGAAAACAAGTGACGGTTGAAAATCGCTTTGTATGCTAAAATATGTATTTTTTTTTAATTAAAAGTCGACCTGTTCGAGGATTTTTCCCAAAAAAATTTGTTTCGTTTTTACTGAATTTATTCCATACTTTAGGCGCATACGGTATATTTAATGATACGTTTAAGGACAGATTCTACATTTCATTACAAGAATTCCTACAAACGTGGATTAATAATAACAATAAAATTGATATGTTAAAAATGTCTTTCTCTATTTTTCTTCAATAAAAATAAATTAATATTTCATATTTGGCTACTTCACTCTGCTATATTTTGTGCTAATAGCTACAATGTTCAATAGCTATATACATTTAAAAGTATTTGTGCTTATTTTAGAATCAAATGTTTTATTATATGCATATTATATGTAATCTAGAAAGATTAAAAGACATATCTTTATCCCCCTTTTCGTTTAATTTGTAAGTCATTAGCATTTATTTCCTTTGCTGAAATATGGTACCATTGGGATCTCGATTATTTTAAGACGGCAAGTTACCGCAAAGTTACTGAATTTAATGATGAGTAACTTGCTGAAGTCTTTTTCATTTGGAACTTATCGAAGAAAAAAATTCACTGTAAAAAAATTTCACTCAAATTACTCAATAATGTATCAATTTCTGTCCACACCCATTTTGTCCATTATTGAGTGAAATTTTCACTCTATTAATATGAGTACAACCATTATATATGTAAATTTACTTATACAATGGTACAACTGAGTGAAACTATTGCATCAGAAATGCGTGAGTTTTATTCAAATCCGAATTACTGCTAACTATCAATTTGGTCACTTTTGACTCTATTCTGAGTATATAAAACCAATTTAGAATTGACTTTTTCTCTATGATTTAAATTTAACTATTATTGAGTAATTTTTTACTCAGACTTAGGTTATATTCTCTTTAAATTTTAATTTAAATATCGTTGTATTAAAGTCATAAACTACTAAGCTGCCACAGTGGTTTGTACAAAGATCTGTTTTAGAGACAATATTTTAGGTCTCGATTTTAAGGCCTTACATATCGAAATAATTTTGTACGCAAACAACGTTCGCTAACTTTGATTAGCGATCGTGGTTAGTTAACGATCGCGTCTGTGTGGACCCGAAGTAAGCAATTGGTTTTTGGTGGCCACACAAATACTCTCTTTCCTTAATTAGTGGCCAAACGTTTTGAACCTGGTCGTGCAACCTGCTATACCAAAATAGTCCGTGAAAGTCTCAAAAATGTTACGTTTACGTTTGCGATAGCAAGAAAAGCATCTTACTTCACAAACTGAGAATGTCGTTTTGGCTGTAGGTACCTAGCTACTGTTTCAACAGAAATTTCATTAGTCGTTAGTAGTTTTCAAGTGGCCATTTTTATACACTCAGGAAACACTGTCATAAAAATTCACACAATTGTTCCTACAGGAAATAATTGTATTAATTAAACTTCCATACAATATTTTTTGAAAGTTTGTGAAAATCTACAATTTGTTGGTAATAATTTAGACGTTGTAAAACTAATCAGTAATCACAATGTAAACGTCAAATTTTCATATCAATTAAAGCTGTTTTACATTGACAATTTATTGATCAATTAATTGATGAAGTCGCTTCATCAAGAAATCGGACAAGTGTAATGCACCAAATCAGCTGTCAAATAACTTCATCAATGTATTCATCAAGTTCTTGACGAATTAGAGCATGTTCTAATTTTCGTCAATTTCTTCGTGAAGTTCGGAAGTACCAACCCAACAGATTTCCAGCCTCAGATCAGTAATGAGGTTATGTTATTGGAATATGTAAATAATTGTGTGGCGTCGGGCTAGTTTTGCATTGTTTTTACTGATTTGTTACTTACAAAAACTAATATTTATATAATATGTGTCAGTACGGTACCCCTATTGTATCACTACAATTATGAGTGGAAAGGTGACATTTTTGAAATTTATTTGCTTCTTTGATTCATTGGTAGAACTGATTCATACGTCAAAATACTTGACAAAGTCTGTAGCAGTGTAAAACCACACTGTTTACCAATCAATTCGTGAATTAATTGATGAAGAACTTCGTCAATTTATTGATGAATAAATTGTCAATGTAAAACAGCTAGAAACTATATGTGGATTTTCACGACAACGTTTTTTTCGTTTAAAAATGTAGTTAACCGTTTTAAGAATTAGAAGTAAAATGTTCTTACCATTAAAATTGAAGAATTCATCAAGAATCTGAAAGAAATAAGATTGCTTAGAACATAAACAAGGGTATGTACCTATTTAAAATTATATGTATTTCCACAGACAAAATAGCTATCGTCCCAGACCGCTACTGGCTCGCATTCCTACGTGTATCCCAGCAACATATAAACAACGGTTTGGCAATGTTGTCACGTGTACTAACGGATATATTTTGTACACCTTTTTATCAATGCCTGTTTTTTGCTTTACTGTATTTAATTAAATGCAAGTATTGCTGAAAATGTTTTAAAGAATGAACGAATTGGTACCTATGTAGGTAGTCAACTTAGACGATCGGATATTCTGCAGCGATTATGTAATTATAATTTGGTTAATTAGCAACTATTTTCATTTTTTAATATTGAAATACTGCAGAAAATATATTTCCAAACAAACAAAATTCGTAATAATATATTAAACATCTTGAAATATAATTTTTTAATATTTGATGAGAAATTAATTAATATACAAGATGGGTTATTAGTACGTCGCGGAATGTAGGTACAGGATATTTGTTTGTATTTTGACATCCACTTATAGGTTTAATAATTAACGATAGAAAAAAACTTTAAATACAAATGTACGACTTTTCCTTTATTTCTTTTGACATCAAAATTTGCCGGCATAAAGTATATGTTTAAAGTACAAAAATCATTAAAAAAAATTAAATTGATGCTTATTGAAATATGATTTGTATAACTAACCTTTACAACAACCTAAGGAGAATACTTAAAAACGAAGTAACATTAAAATCAAATAATTCGTCCTGTATTTTTTCTTTCAATACTTGTAAATCTTGAGGTCTTTAATAATATATTTTGTTGAAGTGTCCCAACAAAAATATGTCTAAAGGACTAAGATCAGGGCTGTTTCCTGGGCACCTAAGGTTTTTAATAATATTTTTTACAGTGTTCATTGACGGCATTTGTCCTCCAAAATAAATTTGCCCATATTCCTAAAGAACTTTTAGACATTATTCTTATTTGAATAATTTAATTGTTTCATTTTTCGTCATCAGGATAACCATTTTAATTTTTTGGTTTTTGTCTGATTGTGTGCGAGAGAGATAGAGTTATAGTGTGCGAGTTACAGTTTCTTGTTAGAATTAATCAAAAAGCTAAGTAATAGCTGTTCCATGAAAAAGTAAAATATAACAGTCAAAAATAAAGTTGAAGTAATATTCTCTGCAAATAGGGGCCAACAGACGAACGTTTATGCGCGCACTCAAAACGTGCATACCTATAAAAACGTTAGTGTCTTTGCACAATAACGTCACGTTTTTGGATGCACAGTCCTAAGGAATGACGCTCATGATTTCTGTCTACGACAGAAATTTTCTAAATTGTGCGTCGTACATCAGTAACGTTCAGGTAAACTTGTAAGTTTTTGTTCATTTGCTTTGCAAGTTTCTTGTTTTGTAAAATGATTGCCCCTTGAATTCCTGCAGGAATTTATTGAAATGTACAGGGAACTGCCCTATCTATGGCAAGTAAAATCTGAAGAATATGTTTCGGGAATTATTTCACATAAGGTTTGCGCAGATACTGGTGTGGTAAATTTCAAGGCTTGATAATTTCGTCCCGTCGCTAAATATCTGAATGTTGCAGTTAATCGTTCGCAAATACTTATTGCTGGTCTCATTATTGTATCTTGACGTATCAGTGGAGCAACCACGTTCAGCAGTTGCAAATAAGTATATTCCATCCTAAGACAATTGGGCCAATCATCTGGTTCTAATGTTAGTTCTTCTAATAGGTTGATGTGAGAAAACCTTTGTCGTTGTAGAAGTCACTATTTACACCACATGCAACGGGATTGTTTTCTTTTTTTTATTCTCATTTTGAGCACATTAGTGCACGCCACTGCTGCCAATGCTAAATCAACCACTTCCTTCGACATCGTTCAAAAATAGTAAGCAAAACTGCGGATTTTGTAGGCGCGTCTGTAGGCGGAGCTAATGCGCGTTTTTTATACACATTTTTGAATGCGCGTACATAAACGTTCGTCTGTAGGCTCTTAACAAAAAGTGTTCCAAAATTCACATAAGAAGTAATTGTAATTAAAAAAAAACAGGTTTTTAATTAAAAATTGTACATTTTGGTGGCCGTGGGCTTGCTGGCATAAACCGTAGACCTCAAATACCCGCAAAGAAAACAGTTCAACGGCGTTAAATTACATGATGTGGGCGGCCAATCATCAAAACGGGGAATTACACGATCAGGAAATACTCATGCAGTAATTGAATTCTTTCGCGGACTGTTTAGTATGAGGCATTGTCTTGTTGAAACCACATGTCGTCTACATCCATATCTTGCAATTTAGCCACAAAAATTGGATTATCATGTCTCGATAGCCAACACCATTAACTGTAGCCTGGTCGGCTGCATTTTCGAAGAAAAATGGTCCGATGATCCATCCAGTCCAAAATCCGCGCCAAACAGTGACACGTTGTGGAGGCATTTGTTTCTCAACAATCACTCGTGAATTTTCTGAACCCCAGACTTGATAAAGAAATTTAAGCGTCGCATTGTTGCCGGGTATTTAGAAGAACAGACTCCAGTTGCGCCAACACAGTATAGAAAAAGTAAACAATGCAGTAACAATCGCAGATATTCACTATTTTGTTTGACAACCGTCAATTTTCTTTCTTTACGCACTGTTCCCTGCAATGTAATCCAGAAATAGCCAGCCTCTTATACACGGGAAAAATACCTTTAAAAAAATTGCTATATTATTGCAGACCCCCATGTTTTACTTTATACTAAATTAGTCAGCTTTAGTTATCATGGTCGTGAATAATTGTACAAAAAAAATTACAATAAATGCTTCAAATTCTGGAGAACTGGATGATAGATTAGTTCTTTTCTTTATTCCATAAAAGGCTACTAATGCACTCTCATCTAAAAAAGGAACCTCTCACTTTTGTGAAGAGTGATCTTTTTTGCTTTCTATTGTCTTTTTTATTTGCCTTGAAAAAGATTTACACCGTACATCCTTCTAGAAACTTCCCTTTATATAAAATATAATTATCCAGTTATTTTTTCTGCTTTTGTTTTCAAAATAACGAAAAAAAAATAAGATTCGCCATCTAATACCATCATAACACCCATATTTTCAGAATTCAGCATTTAACAATTGCTTTGGTATACAAGCAACTAGTAAGGAAGACTCAACTAAGTTGACATTTTGCCGATTTCCATGTTTCAAGTGTCAATTTTGACATAATATTTAATTAGTATATTTGTATTAGTATTCGTAACTTGTATTAGCGAAATGAGAACGAAAAATTTAAGTCTGAAATATTTACCATTTATTGTACTGACAATCCATTACCATACCTAGATTGAACATCTATATTCTTGACTAGATGATAATAAATGGTCCGAAGAACCCAAGCAGCAAAACCTTATTTTACGAAGCTCTAAAAGCTGCTTAATTCGAAAAAAGTTGGAGGACAAGTCATAAATCCTTATTAAAACAACATTCACGACTGTGATTTGTACATTTTATTAATAATTATGTATTAGAAACCGATTTCTGCAGAGGTCTGGATTAACTTGACCTAGGTATTTCCAATCTTGAGACTGTGTGAATTTTCTTATTACGTCCGTATGTATTAATGCTGTTTGTTTTTAAATGATGATTATTTTGAAATAATTAAGAATACTTAATTGGTTCTATAATATAGAATAATAATTTTATACTAGGTACCTTCTATCACTTTATTATAGCAGCTACAGCTTTATACAGGCTGTTTCAGAAAGACCTCCCGTAAATACAGGGGGTGATATTACGACAAAAAATAAGAATTTTCTGTCTTATTGTCTATTTCCTCTTGTTTTCGAGATACAGAGCGACAAAATACAATTTTTTAAATAGAATTTTTACGAAAATGTTCAAACGGTGCGAAATATTTTTATGAACTTTGGTATTCAGGGGTTTTTAAGGATACCAAATACGCTGATCTAATTATTTTTTGAATATTTCATAGAGGGCGCTAGTTATGCTACATCTCTATTACATTTTAAGTTCTAATTTTTTTAAGGTTAGGTTTTTTACCATTCGGGCTCCAATTTCTAATGTACAATTTTATTTTCTAAAAATAATGTACTCTCGTTAGAACTTCCTAATGTGGACTGTTTTAGAGAAAAAAGGCTTTTAATTAAACTCTTACGGTGTATAAAATAAGTGACTTTTCTCAAAGTGGGCCTATGTCAAAACTTATTGATGGATGTCTTATAAACAACGCATACATTCTTAGTAATATTTTAAACTCTATTAAAGAAAATAATCTATAAAGATATTTTTGTTTTTACATAAACCAAATTATATGCAACTGTAACCCCGCCATCTTGAAATTACGCTTCTATCATAGAACTTTCCCAAAAATTTTCAAATTTTAATAAACCTAAAATTCGTACTGAAAAATAACTTCAAAAACTGAACGTCATTAATATTTTACATGAAGTTATATTTATCTATGTTTTTTTTTACTTTTTACAAGCAATTTTTTTGGATAAAGCACATCTAATACCTAAAGCTACTTTTTATTGGTTATATGCAGATTTGTTTAATAATCCTAAAATTGATATAAAACAAAAGAAAGAAACAACGTGGTGAAATATTTCATAATCGTGTGAAGCCATGTTTAAAGATATTTGGAGGAGGGACAGAAAGTGTAAATAATTGAGAATTTAATAATGTTATTTATTTATAGATATACTTATTCGTATTATGCAGAAGAAAATTTGAGAAAAGGTAGTGACTGAATAATATAACTAAGTAAATAACAATGTTCTTATTTTATCCGTCGGTAGAATTTTCTATTATGTGTAAAGCAAACGGTAAATGAAAATGAGTACGAAATAGCGTTTCAAATTTTCTGAAATACTCGAAATTCTGAAATTCGATTTTTATACAAGCTTTCGACCAGTAAGTATGACATTATATAATCGCTATATTGTTAACAAAGTTTAACGTCAGTACTCTTGGTACAATCAAGAGTCCTTTTGCTCTAATAGTAATAACAGAAGCAACAAGAAATTGTACCATAACGAAGAATTGTGTGAAAATTGGTTCATTTTTTTTGTTATACATGATTGAATACTAGACTACCATTACTAAGATCTGTAGTAGATACAAATCTACTGTAATTTCATTTCTTTATGTTATGCAGCTTCTCTAATTATAATAAATTAATTTGACATCTTTTAACATTAGTAAAATAGTTCTTTCGTGAATTCAAATATTATTTTATTCTTTTATAATTCAAGTTTTGTATGTATGTCATTTACAATACTTTTTTAATAAACGAAGGCATTTACCAAAATTGTATTATATAGCAAAAAGGGGTACGGATCTGAAACATATATACATAATTTATTCAGAATTTTGTGATTTATATATATAAAAAATGTTTCTATAACATGTTGCTATCGTAAACAAAATGTTTCTTATGAAAACAATGTTTAATTTGCAGTTGAATCTATATTTTGATATATCTTGTACTAAATCTAATAGATAATACAATTTGCTAAAATTTATCAAAACATTGTTGAATATCAATATTTAAAGTAAATAACTACTTACATCTAAGTCTAATGCCGAGGTTAGGTCCTCAGTTTCCGAAAACATGTTGTTTCGTAATAAATTTATTTCAGTTCCACGACACGACCGTCTTTCCGTAACTAAACGAAATGCATCACACTGTGGGTTTCCCAAAGGCAGCAGTGATAAAAACCATAACTTTATCTATTTGTGACGTCTGGTAGTAAACACAACAACATTAAAAATCGTACTTGAATCTCCATTTATTATTTTTAGCAATTAGTTAAACTAGAACAAAAACCGCACTGACTGTAACAGTCATGAAACATGACTACTATTGAGTAAGGGCAGTATCTGCATTCTACTATAGTCAGTTTCATGTGAGTTCTATGACAGATATCAACTCTATGGTCTACAATCTCTAGATGTCCCAAATATTTCGGTTCTTTACATTTTGCACACTTTACACTTTACAAAATTTGTATTTCGTAGAAAATAATCAGTAGCAGCATTAATAAAAGTTCTCAGAATTAAAAAAACAGTTCATGTTCCAAATTTCTCTCATTTTGATTAAGATATTAACATTTATGATTTATGCTAATAACAAACGCGATTTTAAGAAAACTAACGATAAAGTATCAATACGATGAAATAGTTGTCTCTCTCTTAATAGAATTCGGACTAAGGCAATTGCGATATTTTAAGATCTCAACTTTGCATATCTGAAATACTCTTATAAACTACAATCAGAAATATTTCCCATAAATGATACCACAAGATATGAACAATATTAAGTGAATAAGTCTTCAAAGTCAAATCTAAAATCTTGGGGTTAAAAAGACAAAGATGTCTGGCGACAACCAAAGCAGTCAATTCCACACGGTCAATTATTTTGGAAATCCTCCTGGACTTGCCACCTTTCCATATATTATAGGTAAGAGAAAAAACTGACTGACATAATCGATCATGTGTCAAATTTATCAAAAAAAAAAAACAGGAGAGGAACTCGAGTATTGTTGTTCGACTATCTGCCCCGTTAATACTTTTTTCATGAGTAAAACAATGAAAATTTATTTTGTGTAGACTATTCTTCCAAAAAGTCGAAATTGGGAGGAGTCGTGTTAAAATTAAATCTGTTTCTTCTTACTAACTGCAAAGAGGGATCTTTTATTTAATTTCACTACTAAATTTAATGATAGAGCACCGTTAAAAGGTCCTGAAAATTTCAACTCGATACTCTTTTGAAAATTATAACAGAAAAAGTAGTTTTGAGCCTCCTCTTCGAGGATATCAAATTGCAAACATTAGTTTATATGTTTTTAAGTTTTAAACACAAATAATTTATATAATTGGCTTTAATAAATTATATTCCTATTCAGTTTAATAATTTAGTTCGAAAACTTTTTAATTTTTAGGATAACATGCTTTTTTTAATTACTATTACCCACCACTGGAGTAAATCGAGACCGCAATTGGACTAGTAGTAAAATATCCAGAATCAGGAACTAATTAGTGTTACTAGAAACTCTTAGTTGAGTTAATGGTAAATATACAGAAGCACAGAAATGGGGACTAATTAGTGCTAATATTTACTATTTAAGCTAGTAAAAAATTTTAACTGAATTGGAAGCTGGTAAATATTTTCATATAAAATACAGGAGAAAAATATGAGTTTTCAAAAAAAACCTTTAGATGAGCCTTTGTCAAGTTATGCATCCGATTCAAATTTTGGACAAATCTGGGACATCCTGGTTAATTCTTCGAATTGAAGGGTGTATTTTAAAAAAGTAGGTCTTGTAATTCATATTGAGACATTTCACTTCCGTGCATTTTTTTTAGAATTCAGCGTAATCATCTAAGGTTAAAAGTGATAAGATAGTGTGTCTGAGAAAATATGAATGGTTCTTTGATTATAACGATAACAAAAATTTCACATATTTGTAAATAAAAATAAAGTAATATACAACATGATATAAACTATCATAAAATAATAAAAGCGAATACATTGGGATGTTTGCTTTAAAAAAATGTGTAATGTTTTCTGACTGAATACAATTCTACAATGAAAACTAATACAGACAGTACAAGCAATTTTACTACTAAAACATTTTTATTTGACTTAAAAAAAATCTTTTATTTTTATTCGAATCGTACGCTGTTGTTATGGACCTGTAAGGTGCTAGACATGTTATTACAGAAAACTTCTTAATTGTGTAACTTCTCTCTGTCTCTTTATTAGTAAATAAAGGGGAACGATATAAGATTCTAGTTGAGCTTCCTACCAACAGACAGCGCAATTAAGACATAATCTCAGCTATTCACCAAATTCCTTTCACTTTTACATTTTTTTTAATTGCGATAATTTGCAAAAATAAAAAATACGAGTCAAATTTTTTACCGCATTACTTTTTTATGGGAATATCTGAAAAGGTAGTGAACATCCAATTCTAGTAAAATTTTCATAAAAATTAATGGATTTCTTGAGAAAAAAAAAGCCAATAGCCTTTATTAGAAGAAACTGGGGGATTGATGCACTTTGATATATAAACAAATCTTACAACGCAAATGGAATTGCATTTGCATTGTTGTACAATATGATGTTACAAATTACAATTAAAAATATACTACAACTTTGCATCCATTGAGCGTGAAGAGATGTGTTAGATGGGACTGCAGATGTTCTAAGGATTAAATTCAGGAAAAATTGGAACCTTAAATGAGTAGATTTCCCGAAGAAGTCACAGGTTTGAGTGAAATTGTATGGCTCTCTGACTGATTGAATGATTAGGTACTTGTCAGACGTGTGGTGTTAACGATCAAATGAGATAATCTCTGGGACTAATTTACAATAAACGATGTTGAAATCATCAAAAGTTGGTAGGATCTTGCTGGAATTCACCAGGCGGTATTGCGTCCGTTTCGGTTTGTCTCGACAGGTCTGATCAATTAGAAATTCCACACCTGACAACAAATCAGAATATTGGTGGATATTGATCTGCTCACAGCAATACTGGCACTCCTGCTGATCATGTAGACTATTTAGTTTACTACGCTATCTAACGATGTGGTTGATGTAACGGCCTTGGGAATTAAGATTAGAGACAGAATGTAAGCTGTGTAGACTTATGATGTTGAATAATTTTGATGCCCATCGAGCCCACTTATTTCAGTAGACGAGCAGAGTGCTGGTCACCTGTAGTTGGTACCGAGCATAGTAGAAAATTGGTTCCTAAATGGAAAAAAAACCTTTCAAAATCTCGCAGCTTCTCGGTAATAACCAGCATGGAGCAAATGGACTCTTCGATTCGGGAAAATCATAGACGCTGAGGAATATATTAAGAAAAAGAAGAACCTTCAGGTGTGTAGTCACCTAACCATTTGGGTGTTAACACCTCTAAGCACCTCAGTTGAAGAAAATTTCTATTCATTACTCACCATGGGAAATTGCCGGTGTAACAAAGGTTTTCTCGTATCATGTTTTACCGTCGGAAGATGTGTTATCTCCGTATTAAGAAACCGACAAGACTGACGTTTTCATGGTCCATATTCTGCCATTGGAGGGTGAGTTATTTCTAAGTTAGCGAACCGTCGAAATTCATATGTACGTGGGACATGTATGTTCTACGTCGGAAGACGTTTGCCTCTGCGTTAAAAAAAACGTTTTCATGACAGTATTTTGCCGTCGGAGGATGTGGTGTCTCTGTTTGCGAGACCGTTGAAACTAAAATTCGTTTTTGTTTCACAAATGATCCTAGGTGATTCTTACCGTCGGAACTTATTCCTGAGCTAAGATATTGTGAGGAAAATGGTTTCCCTCGATAGACATTTTGCTGTCAGTAATTTAATTTCCATGAGCTTATCTTATCCATAAAGCAAATGGTTGTTGTTTATTACAGGACAAGTGCCAGTCAGTCAAGATGGCCGAATATCATCTTATCAGCTAACCGACGTATGTGCTAAGTATAAACAGTAACTGTTCTGATGGTGAGAAATGTATTTAATAATATAAGGAAAAAATCATGCATTTTATGATTTTTGAAATTATTTCTTGTACGAGTGAAGTTCAGTAGGCTGAAATATGTGGAAAAATAAGGAACGACTGTTATCAATGCTAGAAAGAAAAACTTATGGGTCCCTTCTCGGGTGTTTTAACACAGCCAGATGTGATTCCTAGTTATAGAACTTCTTTCGTAGACATAACTTATCACTACAATATTATATTTTGTGGGAATATATAAGTAACGATGTGTTTACAAACACAATAAAACAAACCTAGACCTGTCCGAGAAAGAAAATGAAAATGGCTATATCATTTTCTTCGACATTGGAAATAACACATTCAAAAGTATCATTATTTTTATATTTATCTGTGTGGACATACTGTCTACGCCACAACTACATCTTAAAATCAGAGCACAGTAGTTAAACACGCATTATCTCTCTATTCCGGGAAACACTTGCCTAATCTCACATATTTATCAATGTTAAAATTAAACATTTCCAACGAAAAGGCGTGCCAAAAATGATAAACGATTTAATTTCTCTTGATTTCATCATTAAATTACCGAAATTAAGTTTAGGGACGAATTGTGAAATGATTTTCTACGAATTGTGTTGTAAAAATGTAACAGTTAATAATATATCTGTATGAGAAGCACTCGTAAATACCCTTATCGTAAATAATACATTATTTTTGTAGTATCCAATAAAGCTATGTAAAACATACACAATATATAAAGAGGAATTATTATTAATGAAAATTTAGTAGTTTCTAGTAAGATTATAGGCACAATAAAAAATAAGGGCGTTTCAAAATAACGTACCGTAAATGTAAAAGCTGATAAAACATCAAAGAAATAAGACGATTTTTTCCTATGGATCATAAGTCAAATGTCTTTTGTCTTCGAAGTTTGGATATGCAGTAGGCCAAAGATAATTTCTTTTAAAAATAAATGAAAAGTAAAAAAAATATCTTGAAAAGAAGCTTTTAATAAAATGCACTAAAAAGAAAAAATAATCCAAGGAGTTCATAAAACCCATAATGTTGTTGTAGTTAGAAATATTTCTCAATCTATCCATTTCAATCACGCCTCTGCTACTAATCATTGAGAAGTGCCCTCAGGAGGAGACAATTCTGACTACACATTTGAACTAAACATACATAGGTACATATGAAGTTTAAAAAAAATCTCATTTTAGTGTATTGTCATCAGAACTGAGCAAGCATGCAAAATTTCAAAGTCGTAAGTTTAGAGGATGTGGTTCAAATTTGGCTTGCAATATTTGAACTAAATATACAGAGGGTGATTCAGAAATGGTGACCAAAAATGAAACCTCGTATTCTTTGGTGAATTTTAAGGGGTCTTCCCTATAAAGTTTTTATCTAGGAAGCTCCGTTAAAAAGATACAGGGTATAGGAAATACTCCCTTAAAATTCACCAAAGAATACGAGGTTTTATTTTTGGTAAAATATGAGAATTTCTTTCTATGAACCACAGAATCTTATTAATTAATTTTATTTTCAAGATGTGGAGCGTCAAAAATAGTTATTTAAAATCAATTTTCGTGGTATCTTTTCCAAAAGTGGTACAGTTAAGTTTTTGTGGGTGCTAAAAATGTTAGTGTTATTAATTTTTTAATTCCTACTAAACGTCGCTTTTCTTGGATCTATGTACGTCACTGGTGGAAGAGACACCGAGTATATTTTATTTCGAACAGAGGACGACGGCCTGAAAAAGTAATTTTCAAAAATTTAAATAAAAAATTACTACGTGTATCCATGACTTTTGAACTATACTCGGTATTACCATCTACTTTCTGAATATATATAACTAAACATGATCTAATAGGATAATTCACTGCGAAAGTGAAAGTTAAGGTCAGTATACACAAGTTTTTCTGCAAGACTAGCGTCTTCATCTTCAAGCCAGAACACAGTATCGCAGTTATGAAGGTAACACATGTGCTGCCGTTACTTTTGTTTTTTAGAGAAGTCTATCTGGAAAGCAAGGTATGTAGTGGTTAGGGATAGTGTTTAAAATAATGTGATATAAGACTTATTGAAAATTATTATAATTTTTTGTTTTCAGTTAAACGTTGAAATATTATTCGAATCTCTCTGTCCAGACAGTTTGAGGTTCATTAGGGAACAATTACATCCTCATTTGAAAGAATTGGCGCCGTACGTGAATTTAAAATTAGTGCCTTTCGGTAAAAGTGCAGTAAGTAAGACTTAAATTTACTTTAACTGAACGTTCAAATACAATTGCATGTTCTCCTTAGCTGTCACTTACCTAACTTAATAAAATTATTATTATAAATATTTTAAAAAACTGGGAAAATATGTTTATAATAAAAGTTGGTAATCCACACAACTATATTTTTTATCATATTCGGTTTGTTTGATTTTTAATTATACTTACAACTACATTCTTTTACCATTGCTAACATTCCTTATCAATTTTTATGCATTATCTAAATTTAAATTAATTATTCTAGGTGTTTTTAACCAGCATGTTTCATTCAAGTCTGTAATTATTACAACTGGTTTCTGATTTGAATATCAAAAGTTGTTTAATATTCAGGTAAATAAACCCTATATTGTCTATAAATGGAGATCACTGATATTTAGAATAGGTATCTATTCAATTTTACATTTTTAGTAAAAATATTACTGAAATTATCCAAGTGATTTTTTTTACACTCTATGTGCTACAAGCCTTTACTAGCATTGAATTATATCAGGAATTTCTAGTAAACAACTAATAATCAATAACGTAAATAAAAAATTGCAATGATATGAAGAATACTTACATGACATATTGAAATAAATAATATAATCTTTCAAGGGAAATATTCTTGTTGCTCTATCATATCATTTTTGAAAAAAAAACAACACCCAGAAGTAGCCAGGCTGGAGAGATCTTACTATTTCTGTTTTTAATTAATATTTTCCACTAAATATAGTTTATAAAAACATGTATTTTATAATTAAATCGTGTATTTTTAGTTTATTTTAAAGAGCTAATTCAAATTTTTTAATTTTAGGAAAGCTTTCATTAAATTTATTTGATTTAGGTTTATAATTTAAAAAAAACGGTAAAAATAGAAATAATCATTAGTTAAGCAGAAAACAATTCGTTTTAATCCAGTGCAATTTTTAACACTTTTAACATTGTAGATTCAAAATTTCATTTTTTCTTTTTTTATTTAAGAGAAAGTACAAAAACTTTCAGAAACGATTTTTGAAAATGTATGTTATTAAAATATAACAATTTATGAATACAGCTTTTTATTTACAGTTCGAAAATGAAAAATACAATTAAGTCCTACTGATCAAACATTGTTTTCTTTCTGTGTTCATGTTTGACTAATTTTCTTAACATTTCTTTGTTATTAAATTTTTAATTATTCTTTTTACAATTCCATTATATTATACAAATATTATTCAATTTTCAAACAATTTTCGTTAAAAAAATTTAACTAATCGATATCCCTTTTCATCAATTCGAATAGTTTACAATAATTAAGAACAAGCATTTTTCTGGCACTAACATAATTTTTAAGGCAATTTTACTTCAAAAGATACTGATATAAGAACACCTTTTTATTGCAGAGGTATTAGAGTCTAAAATTTAGACCAAACAGCAATAACAAAAAATGAACCAGAATCCTTCCATTTTGAAATACCACTAATTAAAATTATTTTTTTACAATTAGAAAGAAAACCTAATAATGGTATACAGTTTCCAATTCATTGTTTTATCTTAAACAGTTTCCGAGATATCTAAATTTTCGGGAAATCATTTTCTCTTATTTTTATTGTAGTACAATGCACTGGTAAAATATTACGAGCTATTTTCCTGACACCTTGTATAGTTATTTGTTTATTTATTTATTTATTCAGAGTTTGGAAGATGGCACTCAATTTATTTGTCAACATGGTCCTCAGGAATGTAAAGGAAATCGAATCATGTCTTGCGCTTTGGAAAGGATATCCGATCAGACTCTACAAGTGGACTATGTAAATTGTTTCATGACTATTTTCAAGAGAGGCAAACATAATCCAGAAGAATTTGGTCAATTGGTAAACTTAATTATCTTTCTATAACGTTTTTAATAATTAAGATTTTAAGAAACCACAAATTTTCTTAATGTCGACGTTTCGTTTCTTTACTGAGACATCTTTAGGACTCTTAAATAAAACAGAAAGTTTACACGCCATTAAAATTATAACCCATGATACCTTATTGTAAACTAGAATGTTCAGATCAGGAGATATACGTATATTTACGTGTGACTATTTTATATTTAAAAAAAATACTGCAAATTCCGTTTATATAGAATAATTGTAACGTAAATTTCAATGATTAATTTGTCGCCTTTGAAAACAGAATTAAAAACAAGCGAATACGATCCTAACCTAAGTAGATAAATATATTTCATTGAAATCAAATAAAATGTTAAATATTTCATAAACAAGAAAGATATACTTGAAAGTATCTCTTTCAATCTGCTTTTTCCTTGTCACTCTCCGTTACCCTTGAAAATCGTCAGCGTCATAACATAAAGTTATTGTTATTCGCTAAGTCTTTGTAGATCATTTTTTAAAAAATTTAAAAAAATATGAATGGAAAAAGAATTCATCGGCCCACCTAAGAAAATATGGTCCATTTAAAATCAAATCAAAACTACAGTACTACTTGGTTTATATATTTCTGATGCCAATAGACAGAATACATGTTAGGTATTATTTGATTTAATTCTAAACGTATGTAAAGTATGTTGCAATTAACTTCGACCTTAAGATTTAAATCGGAACAAACTTCAGGACATTCCTACTTAGTTGTCCATATTTAACAGAAAAGCAATTATTCTTCAAGGTTCCGTATTGATGATCTGCGAAACTCAAGGATTTCCTGTAATTACTGTAATTTTAAAAACAAAAAATCTTCACTTACCAGGTCTTCTAAATTATCTTTATTTCTTTCCATTTCTTTTACAAACATTTCTCCCTAAAGGTAACTACAGTTAAAAAAAACTGAAATAATTTAGTAGGTACATTTTTTTATAAAAACAAATACGTATTAGGAAAGCAAATTAATTATTGGACATGGTCAATGTTTGCACCATATTTGATTTTCATCAATTGGTTAAAGAGTCCACCAAAATTATTTGTTATAAATACGATTTCAAATTGTCATCATTAAAAGTCATTGACGATTTGGGGAAATTTAGAATTTTGTATGGAAATTACTCAAAAAAAATTAAAATAACATCAATTTGTACAACCAGAAATGTATGCTAAGTAACAAAGGAGTAACATATAAATCATTGAGATCATAGATGTGACAAGGTGTAAGTGCCATTGTTTGTTCTAAGGTACAAAGTGCCATTGTTTTACTAGATTAATTTGTTTATCGGCCAACTTATGATGATAATCCAGGAATTATATATTTTTTTATTTATAAAAAGAGTTTTGATGAAATTAAAAGATCTTGGAAAAATTATGGCTTTGCTGGATGAGAATGAAATTGGAAAGAACAAAAGGAAATGTTTCGATACCACGTCATTATACCCAGAGAATGGTAATATAAAATGTTCTATAATAAATTTCAAGCATCTGAATATGCAACAATTTCAAATTTTTTAATTTTTCTGAAAACTGTTTTACTTTTCTGTAGAATATATTTAGTTGATATGATATTTCAACTTCTGTTGATTTATTCAACTTTGAGCTAATATTAGTTATATCCATAATAACATTAATAACTCGAAAATAACTTATTTTCTTAATAAACTGATATTTTTTCTTGGTTGGAATACAATTATTAGGAATCAAATGTATCCATCCAATTTCCAAAATAGTCAGTGGCGTCGAAATGATAAGGTACTTAAAGGCAGTGCATACTATATTGTCTCAGCCTGTGATTGATGTAATTGGTTATGCATTTAGTAAAGTTTTGCCATTAATTAGTTAAAATTTTAACGCCTTGTAACTCGTAAAATAAATCATTTAGCACAAAGGTTCCTACAAACTTCAAGGCCAAGTCCAAGTAATCACTTTCTGAATTATATTTATGTACTTACGTGACGCCCTATATAGTTGCATATGCTTTCACATTCCTAAAGTTTCTTTTGTTGACGCAATGCCTGGATTACATATTTATAATTTTCTTTTCAGTGTGCAATGCAGTCTGGACTAGATATAAATGACGTAATGAAATGTTACAATACAAATGAGGGAACCATACACCAATTAAGGGCTGAGGATGACACTGTCAGAATATTGCCGAAATTTATTCCTACAGTGTTATACAATGGAGTAAGTATTGTGTGACTGCTAATTGTAAATTATTTCTAGCTCAAACCGTAAATATTAAAAAAATATACTGTTAAAATTATCTGGAAAGTAGCTACTTGGTTAGATATTTAAAATGTGATATTTTCTAATTAGGATTCTCATTGAATTACACTGGATTTTCATACAAAAAATAGTAGAATTGATAGTTGAGTACAATTTGTAAAATTATTAAAGTGGGTGTCCTACACAAGCTTTCGTCTTACACACTGTAAAGCTTTTAACATTTGTGAATATAGATATTATCTTATTTTTGCGTGAAAAGAACATACGGTATTACATGCCAAGAGAGTTCTAATCCCCAAAACTCCTCCATGAATATGGATGGATTTGAGGAAAAATATTAATTAAACATTTTTATTTTCAGGAATTCGTGCAACAACTTCAAGATGAAAGTTTACTAGATTTTAAAGGTGTTGTATGTAGACTGATAAGTAAAAATTTTCCAGGTTCTTGTTTATATTAAAAAATAGCTTTTTAGTTCATAAGTTTATCAATATGCCTAATTTATTTTTTTAGTATTTATACCTAAATTATTGCAATTTTATATAATATGGCACAAAACTAAATGTAAAGTGAAAAATAAAGTAAACTGCAAAACGTTATATTTAGTTTTCATAAATAAAGTAGACATTATGTTGCACCATAAGCAATATAAAAATTTCAATCAATAGGAGTTATGACACACAGATATAATGAAACCAGCAGAAAAAACAGTAGCAATATATGAGAACTGTATAAAAGATAGAATAAGTTGCTAGCAAACAAGAATTTTAGAGGCCAATTAGAAATTTAGATGGAAAACTCACTGATACTGATAATACATATTACAAGGTGCAAGAAAAATGATCAAGAATTATTGAAAGAGGAAGGGAACCAGGAGAGCGAATAAATCAGAAAACTGATGGAAATATAGAAATATGTTGGAGACAGATAAAGGTAAACCAACAAGAAGAAATGAAAATATAAAATAATTAGGAAATTGTAAAAGTGCAGGAAGCAGTGACATGCGAAGAAAATTGTGGAAAGCACAATGAAGTTAATCACACACCAATTACATGAACTCTGGGATTTGGAAGAAAGAACAGACAGGTGAATGGAATACTAACAATGATTTCTACAAAAAGGAAATATAACACATTTTTAAACAGCATAAGAAAGGTAGGTAATAGTAATTAAATATAATTAATAGAAGAATAAAAGTAGAGGTAGAACCTGTATAGATCTAGCAACAATATGCAGTATTATAGAACAATTAGTAGAAAAGAACAAAGGTCTGCTATTAGTTTTATAATAATAACTTTATAAAAGTCTTTGATGCTTTTCAACAAACAGTTTGGAAAACAGTAAAAGTTTGACATCCCGCTAAAATTAATATGATTAAACTGAACACAAAAAATTAGTCTAACAGTAAACAAGAATAAAACTAAGGAAATGAGAATAGGAATTACAGTAAGTGAAAAACTTTATACTGATCAAAAGGAAATCCAAAGAGTAGATCAATTTTGCTATATGGAAAGTATAATAAATATAATAAGAGCAACTGAAGAGGATACACAACACAAACTGAACAAAGCAAGGAAAGAATATGGAATGATAATGGACAAATCGACAGAAATAAGTAGAAAAACAGAAATAAAGATATTTAATAGTAATATAGTAAGTTCTATTACTTGGATGTGAAACATGGATATTATCATAGGTAACGCAGCAAATACAATTTTTCATAAACATATGTCTAAGGAGAATACTTAAAATATACTGTCCAAACAAAACAAGAAATGATGAGCTATGTGGCAGAACGAAATAATAGCAAATTGTAAATGAGATGAAAGGATGTGGAGACTAATAGGACATATAGGGTAGTTCATAACTTACCCAAAAAAATTTGGGAATAGTTGCGGCATCAAAAATGGAGTAAAAAAAATTGTAAAATCCTTATACATAGTTTTCAAGAAAAAAATTATTGAAATTGTACTACTTTCAAGCATTACATCGCTGGACAACTGTAGTGCTCTAGGGTCATTCGCAATACGAGTGGAGAGCAATACAATCGTCGTTGCGGTAGTGTTTACAATAGGTTTTTAGTATCAAGTTAGTATCAAAAATGGCTTGCATGTATAGCAACTCGGAGTTGATGGATATCATTTTAATTTGTGGTGAAGCAAGACAACATTTGTATTATGGTGAAACATTTGTGTTATGGTGAAGCAGGACAAGATTTGTGTTAGTTCGTAGAAACTTAGTAAGACAGGACCAAAGGTGTTTACACGTCGGTAGACAAAATTTTGAACAGTTGTAACATCAGGTATTATTTTATTAATTAAAACCACAACTTAATTTTATTAATTAATAATAACAATAGCGGCAAAAGCAGTTGAATTTGCCGATATAAAATAGGTGCTGTAAAATTCTATTTATTCCTTTCCTTGACAAATTCTTTCGAGTTTTTGTCCGTTTTTATCACTGTCGCCGAGAGGGTTGCGTTGTGCGAGATCAGTTTCCAGTGCCGTGCAGAAGTGTTTTTAAATCATTTTCGAACTGCCCTTTTTGCTTTTTTCTTTACAAAATTGTATTTGTAAGAGTCCCCTGTACATCCAGATTTTTTGTTTCTTTGGATAAGTTCTGAATCACCCTGTATATTAAGGAAACCTGTAGGTATATACAGCATAATTGGAAAAAGTAGAGGAATGTCCACACTTACCTGGAGAAGAATCTGGTCCGTCATGGAAAAAGAGCTAAAAATAGATTGTACAACCACCTTGTGGAGATCCTATGCTTCGAAAAAGAATGATAAGGATTAATATATAAGTAATTCCATATCCCCGCTTATTCGGGTGTGCTAGCATATTTTTAGGTGAACCATGGCCCATGCCCACCTCTGGTTACATGCCTGCTCTTCCATGGCTCATAGTTCAAAAGTAATATAGAATTCCGACTTTTCCAGACTTATAAAAAAAAATCCAGGTCACTTGTAGTTCATTTTTACATACTAATTGGTGTTTATGCATTAAACTTTTTCTCGACTGGACCCCATAATCTTTTTTATACTCAAAGAACCTCTTATAAAGGTGTCAAAACCACTAAGAACCCAGGGCCGGCTTTTACAAAATTTCCAGTTGCAAACATCAAATTCCCTGACTTTCATTAATACTTTTAAAATTCCCTAACTATTCTTTGTTTTTTATGAAGAATAATGAATTCCCTGACTTTTCCCGATACTCCCAGTTTTCAGGCCCCTACAACCCCCGTCTTCATACAAAAATAAATAAAGTGCAAATGCTTATAATAAATTCAAATTTCCGAGATTATAAAAAAGATTGGCTACAGTTGTGTTTAGTTTTTATTATGAAAAATATCAAATATTTACATAAAACATATTGATAATTATCTCACAAGTAAAAGCTAACAATTCGTTTTAAAAGTTGAAACATTCTTTTAACAGAATAGGTAAACAAATAAATGAAATATATCTCCTTTATTATACAAAAGGTAAGACAAGTAATGCAAATAAAAAAAGCTCATAAAACCACTACCAATTAGGACGTCTTACTCCACGACCTCTGGCTCCAATAGTTCTAGCTCGCCCCAAGGCAGGGAAATCATCACCTTTATCAAAATCTCTTGCCACTCCCCCTTGACCAACTGAAAAAGACGCTTTAAAAAAGACAATTAAAATTTCACATTTTATACAAATTTTTTTTAATCTTACCATTTGTAGACGGAGTACTAATCGATAATTTGTCCATTCTGTCCATAACACTCGAAGCTAAAACAATTTATTTTTTTCTCAATTTTGTATGTTCTGTTAAGGATGACGTAATTGAAATAAAATAAAAATTGTTGCCGTGTTCATTCTTCGCACTTTTAGGGATACATGTATTTTAGGGTGGCCCAAAAAAAAACGAATATTTTTTTTCGTGTCTCTCGTGAAAATATGTTAGTTTATCATGATTTAAGAGCCCCCTCAATAAATCAGCTCAAAAAAATTTTTTTAGAGGTCACAAGATTTTTAAAAATTTCCAAAATAGTCACAAATTGAATTTTTTTTAAATTTTTTTCTTGTTATTTTATCATTTTCTAGGTTGAAAAAAATCTCGATTCTGAAAATTCCAAATCGATATTTTATTTCTAAAGGGGGCTCTTAAAACATGATAAACTAACATATTTTCACAAGACGAAAAAAAATCTTTTTTTTTAGCCACCCCAATGTATTTATTTGTTTTTTTTTAAGATATGATTTGAATGTATGAGAAAATACATAAACATTAAAGGGACATTTCTTAGCTAAAAGCAAAGAAAATTCTTAAAAATTGTCCAAAAATATTTTTCAAGATACGAGGGTGCCTTTTATATTTCGGGAATAAAGAAAATGAAACAAATTATCATCGTATATGGCTTAATTTTTCTCAAAATATTCTCCATGAAGATCAATACACTTTTACATGAGCTTGAACCAATTCTCGAAGCACATTTTCCATTCCGATTGAGATACCTACAAAACATGCATTTTGAACGCATTAACCGCTTCTTCAGGCGTCGAAAAACATTAACCTTATAATTAATTTTTGATGTGCGGGAATAAAAAAGTCATTGGGTGCCAAGTTCTCAAAAAGTCTCTTGTTTGAATCGATGTGTAAGAGCTTGCATGTCCTGGTGGAGAATAATGTGTCTTCAGTGGTTGGTTTCTCTTATTTTTTCAAAGACTCCCGACAGACAATTGGGTGTACACCATTCAGAATCGACTGTCCAACGTTACAGTTACAACATATCCACTTTTTCAGAGAAAACAAGCTTAGAAGAGCTACATGCCCGAACAACTTTTGATGAATTTAGCTCATTGTGGAAAGACTCATACAAGTGCACATACTGTTTTCTTTCGGGCTCATAGATCCATGATTAGTCACTTGTTACGATATTATCATAAACGTGTTTTGCAGCACCGCAATTGTATTGCCACTAATGCCCAAGAATGCCCAATCTCACGATAAGTCACACGACAATGTTGCAATATCAGTTCATGCGCAACATGTTTCATTTAATATGGAACAAAAACCGATTTTGGACGACCTTCACTAAATTCGTCGGTGAGCGAACCACAAGCCACAACTGAATTCCGTATACCATTGCTATACAGTGGTTTTTGATGGTGCTTCATCACCAAAAGTCGAATTAAGTTGATCGACGCACTGTTGTTGAGATAATCCACAACAAAAGTTGTAAAAAATAATCACACGAGATTGTTCATGACTTAATTACATCTTTTGGCCGAAATAAATTTTTCAAGTCATTGTAAACAACATAAATAGCACCTGTATGTCAAAACGTTGCGAGTAAGTATACCTATAAAATGTCGAATCTTACGATAGGCACGTCGGTCGTCAGATGGCAACGCCAGGATCGTAATTCCCACAATATAAAAGGCAATCCTCGTATACACCTTAAGAAAACTTTTTTTTTAATATTTAAGAAGGATAATCAATTAACACAAAAATAACACACACTGGAACCTTGAAAAAGTAAGCATTACGCAACAACCTCTAAATTTACTATTTTATATAAATTTAACAAATTTACAGTCGCTGCTATGTATTCTCAACCACTTCTGATTAGTCTTTCCAATATCAATTGAAGAACCAAGAGGGTGACAGTATGTACCAGGTTCAGTCGCTGACGCAGCAACTCGGCATTGAAATATTTGAAAAACTTGTTCCTATATTTATTTAGCAATCCCCATATACAGGCCTGGTCAAACTAAATGTGGAGGTGGTAGAAATGTATAAGCCCAGTTGAAGAATGCGAGCGTGGGCAAACGAAATACAAACACAGCTGCATTGGGCCACTGCTCTCAGCTGTTGACAAGTGGTTGACAGCAGTGCAGTGCAGCAATGCGGAATTTAGTGTGATTCAAGTAATTTTAATTTATTATAGGCACCTTCTATTAATCATTGACATTACAATTGCGAAAGGGATAAATAATATTACAACATGGCATTTTGGAGACCTTTTGAAACAGAATAAAATGAAATAATTAAAATATGTTGTTGGTCAAATGAACATATAATCGAAATTGAAATATGAGTCATTAAATTTTATTGCCAGGCGTTTTTTTACATGTTCAACTGACTTGGGAAAGACTATATCTTGTACACTTCTTCATGGGGCACCCTCTTATTAAAATATTATTAAAGTTCTACAGAAAAAATTCTTACGCATATCCGATGGCCTTCTACTCAAACCAGCTGTTCCTGTAGCTCCTGCATAACTTTTGGTGCTCGACTGGCTGTAGACACTGGATGAATCATTTGGAGTAAAACGCCAAGGCCCACCTGAAGACTTTAAAAAAAAAAAACAATACCGCATACACACCAGTCTACAATAAGCTTACCATATTGTTCTTTTTACCTCTGCCTCCCAACGAGGGAAAATCATCCTCATCGTTTATAGTAGAAACTTCCGAAGAAACAGACTGATTATCCCATTCGGATTTGCTTGACACGGAAATGACACTTTCACTGTCATCGTCTCGAATAGTAGAAGTGTAATCCTAAACACAATTACATTGCACATCACATACTAATAATAGAAATAAAACGTGGAAACGGTAAAAACCTCAAGTTACTGATGTTCTCTTCTTTTACAAAAAAGGTAATAAAAGTAAATTTAAACATACCCTTGACCTAGAGGATCTGGAAGATCTTCCGCTAGCTGCACTAGATGGCCTTGACGAAGCTACTGATGCTGTATGAGGAACGTGGCAACCCGGGATAAATGGTATGTGCAAGTCGGGACAGCAATTGTCACATATTGTATACGCATATCTTACTGCTATAGAACGACTGCAGTAAATTGGAACATTGGTTTGATCGTGATACTGAAATAATGGTTATAATTACATATTCAATAAATACTACAAAATGGGCACAATGCACATATGCCCAATTCGCAGTAATTATAGTAAATTGCCAGTAAATGAGTTTTCTAGTAATTTATAGAGTAGTCCTACGATTTAGTTCAAATTACCTTAGTACAATCTTGTTTCGTAAAAAATTTCATTTTGCAAATACCTACCTCACAAGATATGCCTTTTGCGTAAGCGTAGACATCCTTCTCTATCTCCCGATTTCCAAACGTATCGCTGTTCCAAACATTATCTCCAGCTACCGTATTCTTTAATACACGGAACATATACTGCAAATCGTAAACATCAAAGAAAACCTGTTCCTGATAATCATCGCACCAGGTGTCAAGAATTTCCTGAACCATCTTCATATACCTCTCATGACAGTACAACACGGGCATTCTTCTAGAGCCTTGCATCTTGCCCTGAAATTTGAAACACTCAAAATAAGCTCATAAAAAGTAAATATTTGTTATACCTGTAAAAATAGTTTCATAGTAAAAAATACATCTTCGACGTTATTATCAACTTCATCTGCCATAGGTGGAGCTATCTGATGAGTCTCGTTGGACAGAGACAGAGCTTCACTCGCATAACCCAAAGGTAACAAACCTAAAATATAACCATTAGAAACAAATATTTTGGTGACTGTTAAATATGAATTCCTGCTATTGGAGCTCCCAAGTGTTTTTAGATGAACTTAAGTTATTTAAAAACCTATTTTTAAATATAATATATAAAATAGTATACCGGGTTTTATTAGACTATGAAAGACATTTTCCGGCAGAACTCCATCGACCAAATTAAATGCCGCAATACCAATCTCAGCAGGATAATACCTCTTTTCCGATGCACAGTAGCAAAAACTATTGATATGAATTAAGAAAAACATTTTATCTTGGATTCCTATAAACACAGAAATGATTTAAATGATTTATATTCCAACCACATTGCCTTCTAGAAGGTATCTACAAACTTACTTCCATTTTTGGCAGACAATTTTATTTCTTCAGTAATTTTGTTCTTCATCTCTTCATTCTTTTCTTTTGCTTGACGTTCCATTTGGTTTACTTCTTCAATATCCAATCCATCTGATGTATATTTTCCTGGTTTAAGATTGTTTTTTTCATAAAGAGCTCTCTCATCATATGGTTTTCTTTGCTCTTTAGACATTTTCTGTTGAGTATAATAAAAATAACATAAAACGAAAAAAATTGTTTACTAAATTCAAATAATTAAGTGGTTACAGATTTATGGAAATATTTTGTATGGTAGACCCTAATAACTTCAAAATATTTAATTTGCTTTCATCATCCTGTTTCACACAAGTGGAATGTCGAAAATAACACCTCAATATGTTTTAGATCAAAGGATTTTAATTCCCATAAAGGAGATTTGTGTACAATCTAGTGTCGTTTATGATATTTTTTTAATTAGAACAGTCCATATGACATTTGTTGAGATAGAATTCCAAGAAGACTCTAGTGACACTTTTTTGGAATTAGCCGCATTCAACACCAAACGTAGAAAGACATTTCGCGGAAAATTTCAAGGCACGCCCCTGCCGCTGTAAATTGTTACAGTAGTTCTGATGATAGAACTTTATTGGCTCATTCTTTTCTTCCAATTCTAACTCAACAAATATTGTATAAAGTGTATACAGGATGCATCATAAATAATTGGACATTGGAGACAGAGCCGAAGCCAAGAGAAACAGTAAGAGCAGTCTTAACAAAAAAAAATGCCGTATCTAACGTACTAATCAAATACATATACAATGCATATAAAAGTATTGCAGTGAAGCTGTAGACATGATTTATCTGCAGATTTTACAACCTTTTTAAGATTTGGTCCTGGCTATAGCTCTGAGTAGTGCTTTCAGGTTTTAGATGACTATGCATTTATATTTTATAAAATTTGTAACTTTTTCAAGCTTAGGGATATTTTGACTTCTAATATAATTTTTAACAAATCTTGTGTTACACGGAAATATACATTATTTTACACCTAAGAAAAAGTAGAGCGGGAAGACTAATATTGTTCTACGCTTCTAAGTTCCTCTATCCTGAAAATTCATAAAATCTACACATTATATCACAGTTATAAAATATTGCGCAATATTACATAGAAATTATCTAATATTACACAATATTACTCAATCGATGTGATCTAACCGAATGCCTCAATCATTTTAGTTAAATCTTTTATGTTTTTCTTTTGTTATTCGCTTAATGCATAATAATGTTTCTATATATTAAAATATTTGTCTTGAGATCTCTGTTTCATAACACAAACGAAAACTACGATACTACTAAAGGAAAAATCTCAAGGAAAAAATCTAGACCAATTCCTCTAAACAAAATACCTACATTAATTATTGTTCTAAATTAAAGTTTTTACTCACAAATAGTTATCGACTATCATATAATAGTGTGTACTTTTCTTCTAGATACATCACTAAAATTTATCGGGTATGAAATATGGCAAAATCCAGGTTACTCTATATTTAATAAACATTGGATTATACATAAATGTAAACAGATCAATTTAAAACCATTTTCAATTTATTGCCCTGGTGCTACACTGGCTTGCTGAAAATTCGTTATTTGTATTCAATATAGAAAATTCGAGCACATTATTTCAGTGTTCTATATTCGCCTTATGACAAAAAATTAATCAGTTCTCCACTGAATGCAAAAACTTTAGCAAGAAATGGTGCAGCTTATGCCAATTAGTACAGTTTAAATATGACGCAAAAATTTTCATTTCCAGTGTACATAAGATGATGGCCGCTTCTGAATTTTCAGAAATTTATTTTAATTATCGAAAACATAGGCTGACTGATCGAATTTACTAGCCTCAAAAACTACACCTAAACATCTAGGTGTGTTCGACTTATCAACACATCGAATAGAGCGGCACTATTCTTGCACTTCCTGTACGTAAGCAAACCTTATGTAGTCTAAGTGTTTACAAATTGAAAACGTTGTAAGCCTAGAATAGCAGCAATTAATAAATAACTTACACTCCAGTGTGGGCCAGCTGCATCGGCAACTTCTCTCATACTTCTGTAATTCCGTCCCTGCCTTTCTTTAAACTCCAACATAAAATAGAAAAATCCATTTCTTGGAGTCTGCTTCTGTTTTTTTGGTGGCATTATTCTTTAAATAAATATGAAGAGACTTAGAACCATTATTTTATTTTGTCAGATATTTTCATTACATAATTAAGAAAAATTTAAATATTTGTTATCGTAAAAATTGTTTAAACCCAATAAAATACGATACAGCAACAAATTTGACAAAAAAAGTATTAGACAGTCACTAAAAAAATATATATTATATACATACCATATAAATATCGTATTAAACTTACAAATGAATTTCAAATCAAACAACTGTGAAATATAAATAAATATATGCGTTTGTAGAATAAAAATTTTTGCAGAGGTAAGCAATAATATACAATCTGTTGAAGTTGAAGAATCCAACGGCAGGTACTTAACCTAAATCTCCGTAAACCACCATCCACAGATTAGAAAGAGGATACCACCATCTACAAATAAAATGTTACCTACCATCGAATAACAATAGCCAATAGCTACGTTTTATTTACCCGGTTCTCAACTAATCTCAATTTCAGAATGCTCCTTTGTCAATTAGGTGAGATTTAACTGAAATACCAGGAACTTAGGCCCGACGGTTTATCAAAGTTAGTTTAACTACGATTAACTAACAATGTTTTCGACATATTTGCACTTGTGAACTCAGTCTCAGTATAGCCATAAAACCATATGATGTGTAACTAAATATAACTCATATGAGTATAGCTACATCCTATGCTAACAATTTAAAAATGAAGAATGAAAAATTCTCAAATTGTACCGAGTATAAATAAATCAAAAAAGCTATTGGTAGCTGTTTCAATGGCAGAGAAAAGAAAGTATAGCACTCCAATCCAATGTATCACTCCTACACACTGGAAACTGGAACATGAAAAATACTTGAGGATGAGGAGTGTTCCAACTGGTACACCCGAAAGTAGCTCTATGAGCTGATCAAAACGAAACGAAAGTAATGCTAAATTTTAGCTTTGTTCGTAAACCTTCCACTGCTGCACTAGTGTAGTAATACGTTGTTCGTTTATTGCAGTGTAGCCAAGTGCAGGTATAATCCAGGTGTTCGAAAAGTCCAGTGTAGTGTAGTAGTACAGACACTACTACACTGGCTAACAAGGTGGTGTAAAAGTGTAGTGTAGTATATTTGTGGCGCGAAAATGAAACTTTTATTACAAATGTCACATCTTGGTAGATATTTTAGATAGATCATTAAAAATTTGGCAATATTTGATTTTACTCTGAAATGGCTGATAAATTCGTCTTCCTCACAGTTTCGAACAAGTTCTATAAAATTTGTAATGCACTTTCTTTTATTTTTNACTTTGTCGCTTCTGTGTAGTTAGGATATTCTGTGGTATAGCTACATCCTATGCTAACAATTTAAAAATGAAGAATGAAAAATTCTCAAATTGTACCGAGTATAAATAAATCAAAAAAGCTATTGGTAGCTGTTTCAATGGCAGAGAAAAGAAAGTATAGCACTCCAATCCAATGTATCACACTCCTACACACTGGAAACTGGAACATGAAAAATACTTGAGGATGAGGAGTGTTCCAACTGGTACACCCGAAAGTAGCTCTATGAGCTGATCAAAACGAAACGAAAGTAATTGCGAAATATTATTTTTTATTTTACATAACCATAAATCTCATCGAGTTTTTTTGTGATAGACAATTGTGTTAATCGTTTAAATTTGTATCGATATCTATAATAAACAGTAAATAGCAGTGCAACTCTTGAGTATATTATAACGTAGCTTATATAATCAATAATTCAATAGTGTAACTTTAAACATGGCATCTAAAGGGATAATGTTTAGTACAGTTGGAAAACTTCGAAATTTTTCCTCCATCAAACGCAGTTTCACAGCTGGAAAAATAATTTACAATAAACCACCGAGCTCAACTCCATCTGCCCCCTTACTTGATGTCCCTGGATTGTCTGAGGCTTGTGTTAAAGTCACATCCCAACCTGTGGGACCGGGAGCTGCCAAAAATACTGCATATAAAAATCCAGAATATTTCTGCTATGATAAAAACAGTTACTTTGAGGCTGAAATTGAGATGTTAAAATATCGTTGCCCACAACCATCTAAGCATAAACCATTCTTTCAAAATATACCAAAGTAATATAATTTATATAAATAGTAAAGGACTGTAAATAAACTTCTGTGAGTATTAAGTTAGTTTTATTTCAAATTATTATTTAATTAAGAAATAAAGGAAATGTAAACCCTGCAAAATCCACTAGCCATTAGTGAGTCAAATGTTGAAGAAAAATTCAGTAAGATTTTAGTAATTAATTTAAAAATTACAAGCTAATTAATATGTGTTACTATTGTGGACTTCAACAAAAGTTCGCAGTGATTTTTGTCAAAACTAAGTATCTACGGATCTAGGCAGGGAAATATAAGGCTTTTTATTCATAGATGAAAAATTTTATAAAAATTATTTATTAATATTTATTACAAATATCGTTAATGTTATAAAAAATATTGAAACCTATTTTCTGTAATTGAATGCAGAAATATATTTTATTTAATGTACTATATTTAAGTCAAAATCATAAGGGGCTGTTTAAAATAACCCTTTCATTGTTTTATTACATTCCTCAATAGATTCCACACTTTTTTTGTAATCAGTGGATAACTGTTTATTATTAAGGCACACTGTTCCACCTCCTCTAACTTTCTGGTGCTCCTAAAAAGCAAACACATTAATAAAATAATGCCAAAAAATTGTTACAACTCGGTGTTAACGGAATTAAAAGTGAATGATAAATATTATCTTTATAAAGAAAATAGCAAAAAACAATTAGAACTAGAAATTCTACTTAGTATCCCACATGTACCACATTTATTTATAATTTGATTTTTATATTTACTGACTACAAACTACAAACCTTCTTACTACAAAATATTACAAACTCGATTATAAGCATCCATGTACAAACATTACTTACTGCCCGGTTTATATCTCCGATGCAGAACCAATTTTTTGCCTGAGATGGTGGGGTCACTGCCCATTTCGAATGATCATGTGTTGTGTTAAAAGTAACATTGGCTGCACTTAAATATACAGATTTAACATTGGTTACCCTAAAAAATTAAAAGTTGATAATCAAATCTCTGAAGTGAGTAGGTAATACTTACTTATATTTTTTTGTGCAATTCGACTGTAATCTGCCACCTCCATTTGGCCAAGTTTCTACATACAAATCCGTTTCAAGAGAAGGAGCAACAAGATCTTCATACAAGTCTTTATTAAATGCCTTTGATTTTGCAAAAGAAGTGAACTGAACGCCTTTTTGAGTCAATATTTCCATTACACTATACCAAGGAGCTGTGTTAATGGTAACATTCATGGCTGCTTTTACTAAATCCGGCAGTGATGCTTTTAAATTGGAATTTATATTTTGACTGTATATTTCTGGTTGATTGTATTGAAGTTGAGTACCTAAATCATAAAAATGTTTGATAATTTTTTAAAGATAGCCGGCACAATTTTTTGTGGCGTTTATTCTGTTTTCAACATACCAACTTTATTTAAATTTTCCAGACTCAGAGAAAGACACAAAAAACTTTGCCCGAAAACTGCACCTGTTCTTGGAAATATATAGGTTTTTCCTAGCATCGGAAAATGAGGGACCGAATGCACCAACCAAAATCCTCCAGTATAGTTTACCATAACCACCCCCTTATTATGCCCTTTGTTTGATTTTGATTTCTTATCTGGTGGCGGTTGATCGTTATATAAAACATATGAGATTCCCTAAAAATATTAATGTGTTACTTTATAATATTCACTCGGATGTTATAGACCTCACTTGAGCACTATATAAATCATTTATAGTGTTAGCTAGTATTGAAGTTGTGGAGTTGATAGATTTGTTTGAAAACGTCCAAGAATCGTAATTGTCAGAAGTCATGAAAGTATAGGCAACTCCAGATTTAAGGAGTTTATGGTGATGCTTAATTTCAGGAAGCTTGTAAACAACATACCTAAAATGGGGTGGAAATAAATTATTGAAATTCATCTTTTTTCTGTATCTGTTCAGGTATTGCAATTTAAAATACTGTTTTATTAAATAGACCCTAGCATGTTGGAAACTATAACTTCCTCAAAATTGTAAGTCCAGAAAACCTACTTCGATTATTTTGTTCCAGTTTCTGAAAAATTATTTTAATAATTATTTTATACAAATATGGCATGCTTCAAAATATGTCCTTTACCAATTGATTATTATCGATTATAGTAAAAAAATTGCTAATACAATTTTTCAAAGATGGGCACCTAAGAAAATCATGTTTAATATTTAAAAAAAAATAACTGACCCTCTCATTTGTTTTTCACTTGCTTGGTGTCTGCATAAATCACATATACAGTACGTGTCGCTCGCTTAATTGTGATACAAGCCTGTAGCTTCTTCGTTTTTTGACCGATTTCAAAATTTTTTTTAGAATGTGATAAAAAAACTATCTAACTGTAATGCTGCTGTTTTTATTAATGCAATTCAGGGTCAACTAGGACGCGTTTTTTTCGACGTCAAAACAGCTAATTGGTATTAACGATTTGACTAGTTGGCTCTGTGTTGCATTAATAAACAGCAGTATCACAGTCAGATAGTTTTTTTACCCTACATTTCATAAAAAAAAAATTAAAATCTGCCAAAAAATAAAGAAGTTACAGTCTTGGATTACATTTCGCGACATAATGGAATGCTCGCCTGAAGATGTATCGATTTTGATTAAACTCGGTGGTAAGACGTTTTAAGGGATGCTGAATGAGAATATGTAATCTGTTTTTTGGAAAAAAAAATCGTTAATACCAATCAGCTGTTTTGATGTCAAGAAAACGAGTCCTAGTTGGCCGTGAAATGCATTAATAAAAACAGCAGTATCACAGTTAGATAGTTTTTTTACCCTACATTCCCAAATAAAAATTTTTGAAATTGGCCAAAAAATAAAGAAGTTACAGACTTGTATCATATTTAAGCGCGACACCCTGTATATGCATACCAGGTGTTCCATTTAACAAATTCTTCTGTAGTTCTGGCAATAACACTAATATAAAAATGTGCTGCAAATAAACACATTAGGTAAATTTTTTTATATTTTAAAATCATTTTTGATTATACATAGTGTTTATTCTAGGTGATACTTAATTTTTTCCAAATAGGTTATTGCATTTTTTATTTTCTAATCAAATTTGGGGCTGCTTTGATAAACAAACATTATAGGTCTAAGTCGTATGCACCTCTAAAATTGAAATATGGACAATATAATTGAGTACAACTGTTATTGAGACACTTTTTCAATTATTGATATATCAGGACCACATCCATGTTAAAGTACGAGACATCCTGTATCTATAGTGGATAAAGGATAAACTACATGAAATCATAAAAAACTTACCAATCGACAGGTTTATTATTTTCATCCATGCACTGTTGAGTATTTGTCCACACAATTAGAGTCTCCAAAAAATATAATATTAAAACGACTCTCATAATGACAAATAATACTAATACTTTCAAGATTTGTACTGTTTTGTATTGTAAGAACCCTTTCTATTTAATGCTTCAAAACTTATCTATTACTAAAACTTATTCCCATAGCTTATTCCCTTTTAGAAAAAAAATTGCATGGTTAGTAGATCTATGAAAACATTACATCACTGGGGCCACTAATCTAACCCAAACATTAAGAATAAATATCAGATAAAAGAAACCACAGCTTGTCAGGAAATGCCTATAAACATATATTATAATGGATATAGGATAACAAATGACCTTGGATTCTTAGAGGGCATTTTAAAAAGTTACATACTCCTTTGGCGTTAATTAACTTGTATAATTGATCTTCATTTTTAAGTTGTCACAAACTTTTGTAAGAATTTACAGAGATGTAAGATGGAATAAACTTCACAGCATATATTTTTATAAATTTTTAATAACTGAATATGACCGAAGTTACTTACTAATTTAATTCAATTTATTTTAGTATACCAATCTCACAACATGAAAGAAATTCACAATTGAAACAGCCACAGATTAAAAAAAACATTGCTAAATATTCAAATAAAATTTAGATAATTTTATTAATCACCTGTTTTTATTTCTCTGTAGACTCATTTTCACCAAATCAGTAACAGTAACTCCATTTTCTAGGATATTCAGATTTTTAACAATGTAATTAGTTAATGTATTAGTATTTGTTAACATTCTATAAAATAATAATATCTCTACCCCTCGTAGTCCAAAAGTCAGATTTGTGCGGGAGAGAGGGCGGTATATTCAGTAGGCCGCATGTGCACCCAGGAATGACTTACGTTGGTAATCCCCTAACCACCATTTAGTGCAGGAATGAGGGAAACTTGGAAAACCTCATTAATTAGCAGGATGGTCAAATGCCGACCCGATATCAGACTCTCACACTGATCCAAGCCAACGTTTTCCCACCCTACCATACCCTCAGAGAGGGTGCCTAATTCCTCTCTATGAATACAGCTAATGTACGGTCTTACGGTCAAGGGAACTGAACCCGCAACAGTGTCATTCATTTAGATAGACGCCTCGAACCGCTCGGCCACCGACCGACCCAAAATGATTTTTATTATTTCAAAGACTAGCATTAATTGAAATAACGCAGTGAATGATTTCTTACGGTAATTTTTTATGTTCAGCTTTGTAGGAGAAATTTCAAAATGCATTATTCATATATTCAACAATTTTATCTTAAATTTGTATTTAACTTAAGTTACATATACATGCTTATACATAAAAACATATAAATAATGAAAAAAGTCATTGGTAGGAATACCGAATGTAGCAGTATAAACCTTATATACAGAGGTACCTAACTAATAATACAGTTTATGTATTTGTGTGCGATATTACCAGCCATGATATTATGAAATAAAATAATCCGATTGGATATACTGCTAACAATTTCCTTCCTGGTTTCTGACTATCTCCTAGGAATATCATGGAAGCTAAAAGAAATTAAATACTTATACACAAATACTTAGGTATAAATGAATAAAATTACCGTAAGTCGCCCAGAGAAAACCAACCATAGAGATAGCGAACCGAAGAAAGAACAGCGGGTATGTTTGTTTCGCTAATAAAATCACTCTGCAAATTATTAAAGATATTGTTGTTGGCAAAAGGCAGTAACCTAGCACGCATACGCTTTGGAAGAATGATCTAAAAATAGAGTATGTATAAGAATTATTTGTGTTTTTCCTACATACATATTGCCTCCTAGTAATTTTGAATTTAAGGTAACAATCATAGCTCCTATCCAGACAATGACAAATACTTGAGCAAACTCTGGCCCACCATCATTTGAATCATCTGCTGCACTAGACCCTTGTAAAACCCTTAAAGCAAAATATATCTTAAATACAATGAATAGAACACAGTTAATTTTCATTATTAGCGAAATTAGAAAATAAATGTAAAGGTTCCTAAATCAGATTAAATGTCATTTTAATATTTTAAAGTAATGGAGAATGTACTTACATAGCCATAAAAGTGCATAATAAGAGAGGACCCCATAAATCCCCTAAAATTATAGAAAAAAAATAATCAATAAAACATATGGAGTACATTAAAACTTACACTCCTTTAGCAAAGTTTTCTTTTCTTTTGGAAATAGTACATGGGCGAATTTGATTCCGACAGCTTTTAAGTCTCGAATCTAAAAAGTAGCAACTCAATAATGCTATGCGAGTGCAATACTTATCGATGTCTTACTATAGTGTCTCTAATAGGTTCATCCAAGGTGTTAAATTCAGGATCTCCAATTTTCGCTGTATTTTGATTTTGTGGAACAGTCATTTCTCCTTCCACATATCCCCCAACATCGTCAAACATCTAAAAAACATTCAACAAAGTTTCATAGGTTAAGTAAAAAATGTTAAAATCTATCAGTTAAATTTAAACACAATATAATCCTTACTTCTAATTTCGTTGAATCCATTATGATAGATTAAATTTGTATGATTCAGTAACAAATTAATTAGTGTTTACAAATTATGAAAAACTGGTAACAAACTGACACTTGTCATATTTCTGCTATTTGTAATTGAACCACATAACACACAACCAACACAACACATCAACATGAACGCACAAACATAATCTTGGTCCTTGGTCATTAAACATCATGAACTTACATGGGATACATATACGTAAACTGCTTTATCGACTGCAGACATGTCATTCTGCATGTAACCGAAATAAATATTTTTTTATGAATTTTTGTCCTATAAAGAGAAAAAAATATATATTACAAATTTTTCTATATAAATCGGCGTTATAAAGAAAATATTTTGTTACAGATTTTTAAAAATATTATTTGTTGTTTACTAAATGGAAATAAGCAGAGAGTCCTACGATCGACTAATACTTTTATCCAGTTCTGGTAGTTACGTTTCGTTAATTAATTTCTTGTTAGATGGCAGAGCATGCCACAGATTATTAAATTATTCTCAATATTTTTTAATTTGAACACCTAGAACTGAAAGTTTCGGATGAGAAGTTGGAAATTTTTCATTTGGAAAAATTTCCCAATTGCTAATATTTCGGAAAGAAATAAACATTAGAAGGAAATACTCCCAATTTTTGAATTTCCCGCCAATTTATGATTTAAAATGAAGACTGACAAAAAATATCTATCTACACCTTGAATTTTACCATTAAATAAATGTGATTAAATTATATGCAGTTATTTAATACATTCCGTAATTAATTACTATTCTAATCTAATAGTCTATCAAACTCTTAACATTACTATGACCATATTATTTTTCTAAAATACTAGATGGCGCACACAAATACAGAAAATTCTAAATACATGTGTATAAATGTTATTTGGGTTCTTTATTGTTCTAGGTACTTTGAATGTTGGTTTCTGTTAATTAAAAAAACAGCAAAATTCCTTTAGAATGTGTATGTATTTAGTTCTTCCGAAAAGGTCTCAATGTAAAGAATCTAATTAAAAATAGGTATAAAAATTTTTCAAAATTTCGTAATTTTCAAGAAATTTTCAGTTGTTATCTTTCGGTAATAAATGCGTAATTAGCGAGAAAGAGATACTTTTCGAAAAAGTATAATTTGTTTTCTAATAGGTACCTAAGTACCTATTTTATCCCATAGATGGGGCCAGATAACTCAAACGAATTCATTATGTGATTTAGTACTTATAAAACTTGGGGGATTATAAAAAGTTAAATATCTGGACTATTTAGAGCATGTAATGATTTCAAAACATAAGCAACTTTCTTCGATATGGAGACGTAAACACAATAGGACACTTTACCATTAATAATATTCATCATGTAATGTTATTGTTTCGAAAAGTTATAAATAAACCTCATGGAAAAATCACGTTCATTTTAGTAAAACATTAAATAAGTTAACAATGTTTTTTTTGTGTGTGTGTTTGATTTTTCCATGTGTGTTTACATATGAAGTGACAACCAAACCGAATAATGTTGAAAACGCAAAAAATGTTTCCGATTTGACAAATAATGTAGCAACTGTACCAAGCAATGCCTCCAATAAAAGTAGTGACACCATCATTACTCAAAGAATTACTCAACCATTGCAAACACAGAAAATAGAAAGAATTTCGGAAACTTATACGCCGCTACGAAACGGTTCATTAAAACTAGAGAATAAAACTGATAATTTTGAAAATTTTAAACCTAGTCCACAACTGGAGACTTACTACGAATATAATAAGTTTCCGGTAGTGCCTGTTTTGCCAGAGGCAAAAACCTTTGGGGGTTTTACTAATCCTGGCTATTCTTCAAACAGTTGGGAAGAAAAACCTAGTTTACCAGTAGCTTGGTCAAATAACCAGGGATTTCAGAATTCCTGGTTTGAAAGTCCAAAAAAGTTTAACACAAATCCTACTACCACCGCACAACCTTGGTTTACGAGAGTGAAATTTCCGTCACCAGCAGTTAACGAAAATCCATATACATTTGTTGGCAACGAAGGTGGATTAAAAAGCTACCATCCTCCAGTCAGTTTTGCTACAACAACGGAGGGCTTTGCTTTTAACAAACCTGTCGATACTTCGACTAGAAATTTTAACAAGCCGTCTCCAGGACTGTGGCAGAAACTAATGGGAAGCGTCAGTAACGTCGACAAAAATGCTGTAGCTGTTCAAAAAACGTTTCTGGATTATAATTTAATGGAAAAGCCCTCACATTACAACACCCCGGTTAAAGAACACGATACCGGGATTTCTTCTTATGGGTCGTCCAGTTCATTGAAGAAGATTATAAAATTGTTAACTGCGATCATCCCTATTGGCTTGTTCATCAGTGCCCTTACTCCTACTGTAATTACTGTTACATCTGTAAATGACACGTAAGTATACGCAATATTTCAAAATAAGTCTCTGTATTATTCTCGTTACTTCTTTGAGAAGAAATTCTGAGAGTGGAGATTCTTCTGGCGTGGGCGGTATTTAGATGCATTTGGTGTATGTTTATATTATTCCGGCGCATGGTTTGAAATCATTGGCCTGTGTTATTGGGTCCGTTCTTAATGTTTACGTCTCGGTTGAAATTATTTATATTTTCTGGATTTTTACTTCTTCTTTGTAGAGTCTTGTACTTGCCTTCTTTTGAATTCGTATTAACGAGTCTCTCTGTTTGTCCAGTGTATACCCAGAGAACACTAGTTGGTTTATGATTCTATCATCCTTGAAACGTTATAGACAAGTTAATATTGTGTTTTCTTAGAGACTTCTTGAATGTAGGACTAATGAGTGGTTCTTCTTTTTTCTTGCGTTTAAGTATCCTAATGATGGCTTGTCCAAATCCTGTTGATGTCTCCATTTCCTTTGAGCGTTGATCGTACATTAAGCAGTCTTCTATTCAAGCGTTCTAGCTTGCAGATGGTGCATATTCGATCCAATAAAGTGTTGACATTTCTTGTTTCTGGGCAGAATGGTCGTTGAGTCTCAATGTTTTAGATATTGATTGGTATCCTATAAATGTTGTAGCATAGTAGCTCTATATTCAATATGATTTATTTACTGCTGTCTTTATAAAACATATTTTAATTTTCAGGCAATCCTCTTCCAGATACAGAATTGATAATCCTAAACATAAAGCAATAGCTAGCCGGCTGGTATCTTCCTTAAAATATGCTGAACAAATAAGAAGTTGTGAAGACAAAATACTGTGTGAATTACTCGTCACCGCAAGTGTGTCAAAAAATTCTGAGGAGCATATTCAAAATTTGCTGGATACCTTCTCTGAACAGTAAGTAGTTTTGTACAAAGGGTTTTTCTATTTTAGTACGGTCTTGGTAGTAGACAAATTCATTTTTCAAGGTATTACAATTTAAAAAAATCCTTAAACACGTATTTTCTTTGTAAAATGATTACCTTGACGTTATCAAAAAATGTTTAAATGGGAAAGGTAAGTAATATCTCATTTTAAAGAGATTTTGATTCTCCAGTTAGTAACATGGTAAGTCAAATTTTATTTAATAGAACTCCTCAAACTAAAAAAACAAGAAATACTTTTTTTCCGAGAATAATTAAAAAATTGTGAGGGATTGATTTGGTCATTGTTAAGGCCGTAAATTAAAAAAATTCACAAGATAATGTCATTTCAGAATCAAAAGTTGAGGTGTAATATCTCGTAAATTGAATTTGTCCATTACAGACGGCACTTTATTAAATTTATTGAAACGTTTTCAGTGAAGACCTCCACAGTCAAAAGGAGGACCTGTTAAAGGTGTTTGAAGCTGTGAAGAAAGAAGACTGTAGGTCAGTAGTGTGTAAAAGCAAAAAAAATCCGTCGTAGTAAAGATGTAGATATAAGATAAAAAAAGAAATGACTAAAGTTTACTAGTATAATTAATTAATAGTATAATTACTTAATAATTGTATAAGTAAGCACTAGAATGCAAACGTCATTCTAAAAATATTCAAATTAAATATACTAAATACACCCATGTACATATTAAATATGTATTAGGGGAATATTCATACGACGCAAAACAGAAGGACAAAGTGTAAAGTTAGATATTTCATTAGGTAAATAGGTGGCGTCCGATAGAAAGACTGTCATAATTTACAAGAAAATAATATTTAGACACAGTGCATTAACTATTACTTAGATATGCTATAATATGGTAAGTATATTCTAATCAATAAACAAGAATGTAAATATTTTTTATATAAGAGCGAAAAAATAAATAAATTACTATGTCAATGAAGATGTTTTAAGTTTTATTTTTAAATAGTTGTAAATTGCAATTATCAAAGTAACAGTTATTATCATTTACTTGTGGCGTTATTTATTTTGTGCCTACACTCTTCCTTTAACAGATTTTTTTGCCTATTTAAAAAGAAAGTGAATTCATTTTTATTTAACAATAAGTTTTTATAACTTTTTGTCCAGAATTAAACCGGTTGCTTCAATTTTTTTGACATAATTTTTACATTTAATACTTGCAAAACCATTTTGTATTTCAATTAACAGATATCCCCCATCGGCCTTTTGTTAAAGCTTAATTTCTATGCTTATGACTTTTTTGTAATATCACTCTTTGTTAAATCAACACATTTACAAAAAGTTGGATTGGAGTGAATTGTATTATAATAATCATTACTTGCATTTTCTTTTTGTTTTACAATGAGAACTATATTTAAAAAAAATAGTTAATAGATTAACAAATAGGAATAAATGAATGTGTACAAGGTTGGTATATAAAATAATATCAAACAAATGAAACACAAGAAAATATGTAAATATTAATAAATAAATATCGGATATGTAATTATAAGCCTTAGTGCGGCACGGAGTTTAACAGGACCGTAGTCAGATTACGAATGAAAATATTAATATGTTTACAGAAAATATGTCGCAACATAGTACTATTACCAAAGAGCAAGGCTAAGTAGATGATAAAAACAAGGCTTGCGTGGCATATTGGAAGGAGTTAAAACATATTACTACGTGCTTTTCTAAGATTTCTTTAGTGAAACAGCAACTTTTTTCACTCAATATTAACTTGTGTAGGGAAAATGACCGTTCAAAGACTAATGTTGATAACAGACAGTATGAGAACTTATTGTTAGGCATGAACTATATATTAATATATTTGCTGGTAACTCCTGTTATGTAGCAGATAAAATTTTACATATGTTTTCCAAAATGGTGTATCCTGGATTTTTTCCAACACCCTTTACATTTTTTCTTTTATCGTACTACTGACGCCCAGTCAGTAAATTATTGGCATCGTATATATTTTTTTGTACTCATCCATTATATCAAATTGTTTATTTAGGGAGAGTCCGTGTGATTCCAATTTACGGAATTACCGAACTTGGGTTTCTCTAGTTTGTTTAATGGAATATTGTTTGCAAGAAAGGTAAGTTCATAGGAAAATATAGCGCTGGACGAGGCATGGCTCTTCAAATGTCTTGTCACTTTAGTTTTGTCACAAGAATTTATAATGCGTTCACATACGTCACAAAATAGGTCATTTCCTTTAATACGTATGTCCTTGTAACCTTTGGGATCAATGTCAAACCACATTTGAAATAATTCCCTTCTATTTATTTTTTTTTTCATTTTACTTCACTTTTCCCCTCAACTAATAGTTAATGTAAATGATGTTACTATTTATAAATAGTTATAAATACACACGGCCAATACAATTTACAGCAGATGTAAAAAAGAAGGGTATCGACGCGATACCAACTACTGCAAGGTTCCGTAAATAACTGAACAGTTCAAAACGCGAGTCAGCTGTGAAGGCAGAGACCCGCGCCGGCCCTGTTAGACTCTACACGTGCACTAAGCCTAAAACTTATGAAGCAGATAAACAAAAAATATAAGTTGTCACATTAAACGAAACTTTTCAGATTTAAAAATGAAAAGTGTGTTTCAAAACCGACTTGAGGTAAAGTGATACTTGTAGTGATATGTGCTTTTTATTTAAGGTATTTGCTTTTTGATTAGGCATAATTAGTTCCATAAAACAGCCGTTAACTAATCCTTCCGACAAAAAAATATATTTTAACTAAATAATTTACAAATTCCCTTTTAATAAATCTCTCTTGAGGCAGTATTTCGTATGAAGAAAAAATAAACTCTGATGTCTCATACTTTTCTGTTAAAGTTGAGTTTAATCTCAGAACAGGATGTAAAATAAACTTGTAGGTAGGTACGTACATTAGCCTGCATCTAAAACACCACGACAGTCGCGTTGCATGCCGCAAAGTAAGCCACAACAATAAAATCTCTACATTATTACAAATTTTATTCTCACTATGTCCTTGGCCTTGTCAGTATAGAAACACTCAATTTCTATTTACATACGGCGACTGTGCGTGAAAATGAAAGTGGTACGATGTCCGAGAAAATAATTAACGTGACTCTGTTTTCTATGCCCAGTTTAATTGTTGGTATATTTGCACGTCACACCGTTGCGACCGTTTTCACAAAGACATTAGCTGAAAGCTGATATCTTTTCATATAAATGTTGTTCTATTTAATATAAATTCTTCCATAACTCTGATAACATCAATAAAGCAAAGTGTTTGAATATAATTTACAACAAATCAATTTATTCACATTTTAAAGCTATTTTTTTATTATACACGGCGTCCCACTTCATCCGGGCTCAGCATTTCTACAAAAAAGGCTCAGTTGGATTCCTTACTCTGAGATTATAGGCGAATAAATTAGATCAAATCCCTAAGCAGAACATCCAGCCACAATGGATAATGACCCACTAGCGCAACGCCATCTTCTCCAGGTATAATTAGTAGATGATGGCGTTCGACCATCCCGTTTTTTCTGCAGAGCCCCAGGAAGTCCTACAGCTTACAAGGATATCGGTGAAAATGCCGGCCAGCTCCAGAAGTCTGTAAAAAATAAAACAGTAACAATAGTCTTTCTCAATAAATTCTTCTTTTTCTAAATAAAATATCCATTGTTACTATAACCCTTTTTTTATTTATTTTTTTTTTTTGAGAGATGAACTGGTTTAAACTCCAACACTAACTGCTGTTTCCTTGTTCTGTTTCTAAACAATTATAACAACAATTAGACTAACCGCTGGTTATTTATCTTTGTTAATTATTAATATTAACATTACGTCGACATTTAACTAATTTTTGTCTTATCGCTGTGGCTGTAATTATAACTAATTGTATGTGCAATGTAATACCTAATAAAAATAAATAATCTCAACATTTAGATAATCCAGAATATCAATCAGGGTGGAAACACGAACGAATAACAGAACGTAAACCTAGTTTACACAAACGCTGTAAATCTTCTTGTATGTCGATTGACATACTCTTTTAAATGGCTGTTACTAGGTCAAGAGGAAAAATTCCTATGTTTCGAAGAATTCAATTGTGTCAGGTAGACATAAAATCCAAACATTTCAACTCATTTTTTAAATTTTTGCTTAGTTACACAGACAATGAAAGAAAAATCATATGCATTGACATTAAGTATATGCTTATGTTATATTATGTTGTATAGGGTGCTCAAATTTGAGTTAACTTTTTAAACTTGCCGCTATTTATGTTTTGAAACATGGCGGTTAAAAAATATGGAGAAGTATACGACAGAACAACGCGACTTTATTGTTAAAAATTATTTTAAATTTGTTGAAAGTTACGCAGAAGTTGGAAGAAAATATCGTACAAAATATGGAAAAACAAATTGTCCAACAAACAGCGCCATTCGAAATATTATGAATAAATTTGAAGAAATTGGTTCAATTCAAGATCAAAGAAGTTAAATTTACAGTCGTAGAGGTCATTTACTAGAAAATATTGCAGCTGTCAATGATAGTGTCACTGCAGAACCAAACATATTAATTCTTCATCGGCAAAGGCCTTAAGCAAACCACTTTATGCAATATTTAGCATAAGGATCTTCATTTAAATACTTACAAAATACAGTTAACACAAGAATTATTGCCAATTGATCTTCGTTTACATCATACTATTGGAGTTGGGCTTTTGCAGAGAAAGAAGGAAATGATGATTTTTTAACAATATAATCTTTAGTGATGAAGCTTATTTTGAAATTGATGGACATGAAAAGAAACAAAATTATCGTATTTGGGGTGAAGGCAACTCATGAGTAATATATTGGAACAACCAATGCATCCACAAAAAGTAACTGTTTAGTGTGGTCTTTGGTCCTGTGGTTCATACTTCCTCGCAAAAGGAGGAATGAAGCTGGAAACGTTGGTACTGTGAATGATGCTTGATATCGAACGATGATTAATAACTTTTCATGGGATTATTTGGAGCGTATTAATGTGCAGAATATGTGGTTTCAACATGACGGTACAACATGTTATACAGTAACAAAACAACCGATTGTGGATTGAATAATTTCTCGAAGAGAATTAATTGGCCACCAAGATTATGCAAACTATCACCATTAGATTTCTTTTTATGTTTTTTTTTTTTTGAAGAGGAAAGTTTATGCTGACAATTCTCAAACCATTCGACATCTGAAAGAAAACATAATTGAGCAAATCAATCAAATTGAACACAAATTGTTCACATTACTATGTGGACACGTGATGGAAAATTTTGTTAAAAGATTGAAGCCTTGTGGAGCTGTAAGAGGTGGTCACTTTTCTGACATTTTTTTACATTATTAACCGCAACATATTTACTTTAAGTAATGTTCAATAAATATATCTCGTTATTTCGAGAAAATGATGGGTTTTATTAAAAAATTATAAAGTTAACTCAAATTTAATACTCCCGAGTTCTTTTTCCCTGATGAAGGGAAGTAGGAAAATTCAGTGATATTTT